CTCATGACATACTCACAAAATATGCGCAGAACAAACATCGCTGGATTTTGTCGGGTTTTTTTGGCTAAAAAGATGAAAAATATGCCCATTCCGCATCGCACACTGAGCCAACCTGACACTTGAAACGTGCACGCATGTGATCGAGCGATGATTTTCGGTTCGCTCGGAGCGCGCCGCGGGGGTACGGGTACATGCACTTGTACGCATGCGCACACTATCACTTCGCTTGTGGAGCCTCATAGTTCTAGGAGTAGACTCTAAGTGGTCTTAAACAGAGTGATAAAAACCTTCCGGAGCACACATTTATTCCCTTAATAATACACAGTTTCATAATCATATCTGGGTCTAACTTCTAGACACACTTTTACTAGTTTTAGTTCAATAATCGTCTTCAAAAATAATAATAAATATATAGTCGTGTTCCCTAACGTGGCGCACTTCGAAGCTTACCCAACTTTCCTCATGTAGTGTCACCAAACCTCTTTGTTGATAAACCTCAAATTCATGCAGTGAAATACTGGTACTTTTACCTTTTTAATGCTTGCTATTTAACCTCTGTGAACAAATTCGGTTTCATAAAATTTAATCCGAAATGCAAAAACGGTCACGTCCGGAAATTGGGCACAAATTGGCGGAGTGTTCCCTTACGTGGCGCACTTGATTAAATCTCAGAAAATTCCAAATTAACATTTAAGAATTTCTGTAAACTTGATAAATTCTGATAAATTATTATTATCTTTACTTACAAACCCAGCCAGTTGTTTGTCAGAAAATTATTTTCTTATTTTTCGGGGCATTTTCAAAGGGTTCACTTTGCACTTGAAAATAAAAACGGAAACTCACGCCAAAATAATTTTTTCTTTTAACTTTGTAACGGGTAAATAAACTCGCGATTTATGAACGGGAGTGTTTAGAACTTGATGAAATTTCTCTTTCTGTGAAATTTCAGTTAAAACTTTTGCTCTAGCTAGGCGCTACAGGCGAAAAAATCAAAGTGCGCCACGTTAGGGGCCGCGCCACGTTAGGGTACATCAACAATATATAAAACCTTACCCCAGGGTCAGTCAATCCCAAATGTTACGATGTCTCATGCATGTACATGGAGTGGTGTACATTCTGTACTGTGAAAAACACATAGAACTACATGGTTAAACACATGTACATGTACATAATAGCTCTACTTAGTGGAGCGTTGAATTACGGGTGCCCCTAGCCATACAAACGCTCCACCGATTTGGCAATAATGGCATACATTGTACAATACTGTACATGTACATGTACTTTGGTGCATGACGGCTTCACAGTAGCATAGTCACATACCCACGCGAGGACAAAAAGACCCCCCAAAAACCGGTAAAGAGAATACAAATGAGAGAGACAGTTACCCTGGATTGAACTACACATTCATGACATTCCATCAAATCCCTTACATTGTTCCCAAACAGCGAAACTTTTGAAGAAAAACAACAAAATAGTCTGAAAACTTACAGCTCAATGTGTTCGCCGTGAGGCTCAACCCTTGCACCGGTTTGCCGAATGAGGGCGTCAGACGTGACGTCACCGTCGTTGCCTCGAATCATTTGGTATGGTAGCGCCAGTATCACAACTCCAGCAGTACACTTATGATAATTTATGCTTACGTCACCCCAAGTCAGGCACGTCACGTCGATGGAGATCAGTGGCGGAGCTCCGGAGAGCGGGAGCTTTCGCATCCAATGATCGGTCAACTTTCGGAATGTAACTCGTGTTTGAGCAGAGCCAGCTGTGACATGTCGTTCTTCCCATTCCAAACAAACTAGTGCAAACAATAATAACAATAGCATTCGGTTGTACCACGGAGGTAGAATTAGTCGGGCTAATTGATCTGTAACTTTGTCAATGTTAGCGTGCTCGGCGGATACTATTTTACACAGTGTCGGCCTTTTAGTCGATTACAACGTGCGCTTAAAAAAATACGAATAGATAAGGCCCCAAAAAAGTCTCCGGTTTTCTGGTATGGAGCTTGCCCAAAAAGTGGTGCGGCGACGCGGCTTTTTTTTTTTTTTTTACCTGATTGTTTTTGCTTCAAATGTCGGCTAATGACTGCAAATGGTGCACGACTAAACTTAGTGCAAATATATGGGAGTCCAGAGAGGCCACATAAAGCTTATTCTCGACCATAACCCAATCTAAAAACACGTTAAAATTGTGCAGCAGCAGGATTCCAGTCAAACCAGTGAGTTTGGCGGTTTTGAGACATCATCTTTCATTGAAATTTTTTTTTTTTTCATTTTGCCGACGCGCATGGCTACGGTGACGCGCGCGCATACCAGAAACCGGAGACTTTTTTTTTGGCCTAAGGGGAGCCTTCGTTTTTGAAATGACCAATGTTAGATTAACCGGCTTTGGCAGATGATTCGGGTCCATGCATATTCTTCCATGATTTATTACTACCTTTAGCATTCAAAAAGTAGGTATGATTACTTTATCGTGAACGCTTGCATTAATTGTTATTTAGTTTGTTTATTTACTCTTTTCCTGTTGACACAACCATAGAGAAAGGACATACCATATTTACATAAACCTTGTTAATATTCTAAAAAAAAAAACCTATTGAATAAAGAATTTATTTTGAATTAATAGATTTGAATCTGTATCAAAATATAAGATTTGTCTGTCGTTGAAAAAATATCTCTGCGGTTTTCAATTACTTCCGTGTGCATCCGTGGACTGCCTAACGCCATAACCACAGAAATCCTTTGGAGATACCAATTATGATTTATCCTTTACCCTATGTATGGGATGGTTGACCTAGTATGTCTGAAGATATTTTTCGCAGGGAATAATAGATTAACTGTGAAGCTACCACTTTCCCTGCATGCAGAAAAAGGTGTGTGTAATGATTTTTGTGCCAAAGAGGGTTGGTGGTTTTACCAAGAAAATGACCATACTTTTTTTAATCGAGGAAAACCAAATGGGCCCAGGCCATGCAAGCTTAAACGGAGAAGCGCCATGGGCGTAGCGAGGAGGGGGCAAGGGGGGGGGGGGCCTGGAAAACCAAAACAAAAAAAACAAAAAAAGAAGAAGAAGAAAAAGAAAAGAGATAAAAAAAAGAAAAGAGAAAGAGGCACGAAGTGGTGTAAATTTAATGAGTTGGGGGGGGGGGCAAAAATGTCCCTGCCCCCCTCTAAAACTGATAAATCGAGAATATGTTGAGAAATGCAGACATTTTTGGCAAAAATTTTTTGCCCCCCTATAGAAAAAATCCTGGCGACGCCCATGAGAAGCGTATATGCTTGCAAACAACATGGCGAATCGCCCCGCCAAATTCTAATGTTTGCATTAGGCCCAATTTAGGGTATGTATACAACCTCTAAGCGGCATTAGATCACAAGCAACACCATGAGCTGACGAGTGGATCAGGTTTTATCGTTGTTCCTAATTTTTTAGTACACTATATTATTTTGTCTTACAAAATTTCAAATTATGTTTTGTGCTTTAACGGAAAAAATATTAGGCCTGTTTTGTTGTTGCTTTTGCCAGTGCCTCCTTCTTTTTTTACTTGTCAACATCACCGAACAAATTTCGATTTGATTTAATTAATTCGAAACAATGATGATAAAGATAACCGGGCATCGTTAAGCGTTCCGAGTTTAACTTGCTCTGTGTTTTAACCATTGATCTCCATTTGACATTGATCTCCAATGGTTTTAACCCATGCAGCTCTTAAACAAGTAGATATAGTCGTGTTCCTATTTCGAGGCTTACCTAACTTTCCTCGTGTAGTGTTGCCAAACCTCTTTGTTGACAAACCTCAAATTCATGCAGTAAAATAATGGTACTTTTACCTTATAAATGCTTGCTATTTAACCTCCGTGAACAATTTCGGTTTCATAAAATTTAAGCCGAAATTAAAAAACGGTGGCGTCCGGAAATTAGGCACAAATTGGCGGAGTGTTCCCTAATTAACGTGGCGCACTTAAATAAATCTCGGAAAATTCCAAATTAACATTTAAGAATTTCTGTTAACTTGATCAATTCTGATAAATCATTATTATTTCTACTTACATACCCAGCCAGATGTTTGTCAGAAAATTATGTTCTTATTTTTCGGGGCATTTTCAAAGGTTTCACTTTGCACTTGAAAATAAAATCGGAAAATCACGCCAAAATAAATTTTTCCTTTAACTTTGTAGCGGGTAAATAAGCTCGCAATTTATGAATGGGAGTGTTTAGAACTTGTTTTTAGAACTTGTGTTTAGAACTTGATGTACAATTACGTACAGAACTCTTGACATGTATGGGTGGTCTACCCTACTATAATTCTAAGGCTGGGGTCCGTCCCCAGGAATCAACCCCCAGGGTCACTGCACTGGAGTGGAGTCTGTCTCCCCAGGGTGACCGTAATGTCATGGCAAAATTCTGCTAAATACACTTTAAAAATCTGTCAGATTTATCAAAAATTTGCCAAATCCCATGAATTACTCGAAATACACCATAAACACTTAAAATCACATGCAGATGTGATAATATTGCCTTAATTAAGGTTCAAATAACATTATAAACAATCTATAGTCATATAAAGGTGTTATGGAATTGCGTCAATTTTAGTCGAATCTCACGACGAAATCTCATACCCAGGAAACCTCAGCACATAGACAAGGCAACCTGTCCTATTTTGTAAGGGTTTGTTTGAAAATATTGAAGTTTTTTTTTTTTAACAAATCTACCTTTTTTTCAAATTTGTTTGTTTTTTTGTTTTTTATCAAATAAATTTTTGCAGAATTCTGCCAAAAATCTGCCAAGAAAATCCATTCTGTCAAATTTTCTGTCAAACTCGTTTTTTTACGAAAAAATCTGTCAAAGTTAGCCGAAAATCAGCTAAAACGGTCACTATGCTAGCTCTCTCATTACTCTAGTCTGGTTCCCAGACCAAATGATACAATTTAAGACGTGAGCGTCGGGAATGGAACCAGACTATCATTACTCATCGTTTGCCGTCGATGAGGGCGCAGCGTACACGTACGAGCCGGTGTCATATGAAAATCGGACTCGTATGGAAATCGGACTCTTTTAAATTGGATAAACCCTCTCACGTGACAGGTCCCTCTACAATTATCCATGAATGAGCATGCGCAATACCACCAATGAGTCCGTATTTCATAAAACCTAAATTCATGCTACACCGGCAAATGAGAGCTCGAAGAGATGGTCCTGTGCGAAACTCTGTGGTCCTGAACGAAATTCTGGTAAATTTCACTTTTTTGTTTGACATTTGAAAGATTCAACCTATATTTTCAGAGTCAGACCCCCTAAAGCTACGAACGCGGTCTTTTTCTACGCATTAACCTTCAATTTGTATCCTCGAGTCACCATAATTGGCGCAGGTAACGCTTGCAACGCGCGCTTTGTACAACGCAAATTGAATGCGAGTGCGTCGAAATAGATCCTGGTCGTTTGGGTGGACTGACGATATGTGACAACGCGCGTATGGGCCCCATATTAAATTTAAAGCAGTGGTACTGGTAGACTGGGACCTTAAAGGGAATATACATCATTTGCTTTTGCTGTAATTTTCAGAAATGGATGGAATTGGGGGGGTTGAAAATATATAGCAAATAGTTACACTGACTTTTTTGAGGTTTTGGGTTCGAAAATGCTATATTATATTATTAAAAACCAAGAAAAAACAATTATTTTCCTGTAGTCTGGTTCACTGACTCCATATAAGAAGAAACAGAGCAGTTTACATACATTGGAGAATTGTAAGGTCAGGGAACCAGTCTAGCTGGCTTGTACCCTAGCCCTGGTGGACTCCCTTTCCTCCCTACGTTAAGGCCACCGCACACTACACGATCCGACTACGACCCGACTGATTCGTAAGCAGTCGTCAAGTACGCGCTGTGACGTCGTACGGTGTGCGGTGTACTACGACCCGACTGCGATTCAAGTTGGCAGTCGGGGCGTTGTCGGATCGTAGTCGGATCGTAGTCAGGATCGTGTAGTGTGCGGTGGCCTTAAGTCGTATTGCAATGAAGACTTCGTCCAACCTGGGCTAGCTTGTACCCGTTCATAGGTGTGTAATCGATTGCAAACAAGTGCGATGGTCAATTGGGGCCAGTATTTGAAAAAAAGCCAGTTTTTTTCCAACGCTGGTCGGCCGACCAGCGTTGGAAATTGATACAAAAATACCACTTTTCGTGAAAATGACAGTATACCAGGTGCCATGATTTTACAGGATGCTTTACACTGTCATTCACTAACCGTCCAGCAAGGTATTTCTAAGTGATTTGGTAGTTTTATTTTTTGATGTTTGCAAATGTTGTATCTTCCCTTTAAGTGCTCAAAATGATGCAAAAAAAGATCAGGCCAACTTGACTCACTCTCTAACCAGCAAATTTCTCCAAAACTGTTACTGGGAGTCTGGGTATAAAGAATAGTTCCTCAGTATTTCAGCAACCAAGTTTGAAAACTCAATTCCATTTTTATAGGAGGGTTTTCCTCAATATTTGGCAGTAGCTTGCACAAGAGAGGGAAGTCGGCAAGATTACCATAAGCGAAGTTCACTAATTTTCCTCTGTATTGCCTAACAAGCCCCCAGATAGCAATTTCATGTCATAAAAGTCAATTTGAGCAGTGAAAAAATACAAGCATTTTCTTAGAAAACACTTAGAATTTTTCAGTCCACTCTCATAGGGTTTGTACACAGAGTGTTGAGTGAACTTTGTATATGGAAATCTTTCCACTTGGTCAACTGATTTCAAAATGAGGCTAAAGACTAGACTTCTACATGTCCATCCATGGTCCAACTGGTTGACATTAGTCTGGTGCCTGACTAAGGAGAAATGTGCAGAAATAGCACGAATAGTGACATAGTACCCGATCCCCGACATCCTAGATATTTTTTTTTTGGCACAGTCAGCTGACAGTTGATTAATGCAGTACTGAAGAGTTGTTGGACTGATGTACCAGTCTGTTTTCTTGTATTGCATGTTTTCAATACCTTAAGTTTTGGGACTCTCATACACAGTATTGAGAGTCCCAAATTTTCGGACTAAGGCAGTGGTAGCTGGAGTTACCCAGCCCTAAATTTTATCATTGGCATGACTGGGTTGTCATTCAGGGCTGGAGGAAGCTTTTCACGTGAACCAGCAGCGTTGGCAGGTCCCAAAAAAAATTCGAAAAATGTGCAATTCTGTCCCTGTTACACACTAATTTCAACTGGAACTCAGCCAAACCTTGCCTGGCCCTGGAATAACCATTAGTTACACAGGTCCTCGAATTAAAAAACGATCCACGATGAAGATTCAGCCTACAATTGCAGTGAAAAAAAGGAGGCATAACCGACAACCATGCGGTCATGGCGAGGCCCACAATTACATTTGTGCACAAATATAAACTTTGTGTACAATGAATGGCAGTCGATTACCATGCACAGTGCGCGCGCTTGCCATTCGTTCTTGCCGGCTGGCTGCTGGCGCATGACGTCACGCGGAAGCTCAACACCCGACAACTGTTTCATGCACAATAACTGGCTAACTTGCTGTTCCAGTACCGCAGGTGTGATGCGAGTGGTAACCTCATATCAGTGCATGATATAATGCATACATTATTGCCGAAAATCGAGAATTGATTCTTGATTTTTCAAAAAATCCCTCCCCGGGCCAAACCTAGATTATTACTAGCATCAAAAATTCATACGAACTGCCATTAACTACCATTAAGCTGTACTTTCAATTGCTAATTTTCTTTCTATTGTATTTTCATTTTGTCCAAAACAGTGAATCTTATCGATGACAGCTGAAATTTATTTTGGACGTTGCACTATTGGAAGGAGATTCATTGTACATGTAGTAGGTATGTATGCACATTCTGAACATGTATGAAGGCGTAAAATTTTGTCCTGTGAAATGTACCATTGGTCCTACGTCCCATTGGTCCTAAGTCACATTCGTCTTGAGTCACATTCGTTTGAAGTCTCATTGGTCTGACAAAACATAATACAATGTACTGTGTAGTTCCAGTGTTTCAGGTTGAGTGACCCTAACCCTAAACAAAACTCTAATTCTACGGGGCGTCGGACCAGTGGGATTTCGGACCAATGGGACGTCGGACCAATGGAACGTATACAGGATGAGTAAAAAAAAAAAACCAAATGCCAGTACCATTGTTTTACTGAAGTTCTGCATGTATCACTTTCAAAATCTAGGATATGAAAGCCCAATTCATATGCTTTCTTTCAGTACAAGAATCAGTCAAATCACCTGTGTACTTTTCAACACAACCACCGTTTTAAAGTTCTGTCCACGGATCACAAAAGAAGTGTGTGTTCTTTCAGCAAAATGAAAACAGTTCACACACATCCTTATGTGATTTGTTTTCGTTTTGCTGAAAGAACACTGAGATTTTTTGTAATCCTTGGACAGAACCTCAAACCGGCGTTTGTGTTCAAAACTTGAAAAAGTACATGAGTGATTTGAATGATTCAGGTACTAAAAGAAATCTTATGAATTGGGCTTTCATATCCTAGATTTTGAAAGTGCTACATGCAGAACTTCACTAAAACAATGGTCCCGACATTTGGGTTTCGTTTATTTTTCACTCACCCTGTACAGCAATGGGCTGTCGGACCAATGGGCTGTCGGACCAATGGGACGTCGGACCAATGGAACTTCAGACCAATGGGACGTCGGACATTTATAGAGACGTCCCTAAAATGATTACCACATACGCAAAATTGTTTTATCGATCCATTACCCCAAGCACTGACCGTGCAGTAAAATATCTGCAGTCTTGTATGTCTATCTTCTTTGAAAGACCCAGAATTATAGCCCGTGGAACATTTTATTTCATTATTGGATGTTGTGGTCACTGGATGCCAAGTTTTCAGCAAATGATTCTCATCTGCAATGCATGTACAGGTATAGCAATAACGAATGTCACGTGATGTGAGTTCCACCAATGGATTGACAAGCATCTGTATGTCCATAAGATAACTTTAACTAATGCTATAGTTATGGGGCATTTTTTAACAAAGCGAGCCATGCAAGAGTGAAAAAATAGCAAGAATAAACACAAGGCGGTTCTCGAATCGCGCATCTCACCTGCGTTTGCGTAAAAGAGTCACCTTTGACTTTGGTATGGGACCTTTGACATCATTATCATTTGAAGGTTCCCATGTTGCATCTATGACCCAAGTTTGGTTCCATTTGGACATGGAATTGGAAGCCAACTGAGAGCATTGAAATCTATGTGTGTAGTTAAAACTCAGCGTACACAACAAAAATATGTGACATGAAAACTTGTGTCATCAGCAAATTGCTATATCAGCCGTGCGAAGCATGCTGGTATACTGTGATCGTCCGATTTCTTTCTTTCTTTCTTTCTTTGGGCAAACGGTCACGTGACCAACATAAAAATGGCCATAACTCCGAAACTATACTTGGCTGATTTCAAACAAACTTGGCCAAATTAAACCTTGACACATGCCCTTCCTAGCCATGTTTTTAAAATCCCGGCCAGCCACTGGTCATCCAATGGTCAGTAGAGGTCATTTAATGAATATTTACAAAATGCTGCTTCTCCCACAGTCTTGACCAAAGTAATGTAAAACTTGGTCAGTTGTATCTTTGGACTGAGCCTCACAAAAGTTGTTCACAGATTTTGGCCAGTGGTCACATATTGGTCAGTAGGGGTCATTTTTAAAAATAATAAAAAGCTGTTTTACATTTTAAATCTTTGCAACCCTTTTCAGTGTATTTTTTTATCTCTAATTCTCAAATGTTATATTCCTGACTTATTTGGTTGTCGAATTATTTCAAGTTTTTCATTTTTCAAACTGACGGAAAAACAATATAACTACATATGAATTCTGGGAAGGTTCCAAACCACCACACACAATACTGTGGATGTTGTGTAGCATGCCAAAACCATACCGTCCATGTGCACACGGTCAACTACACGTGTACGTTGACAGGCAGTTGCACGCACAGTGCCACACTCTGCATAGACTTTGCACACAACCTGCGTAAAGATAGTTGCGAATTCAGCCAGATTCTCCACTGCGGATAAAAAAGTACGGAGGCCAATAAAAAACACTATTGCTGTGATTAAATTTTGATTGTTTTTGTGGATCAATCTACGGGAATTAACTACTGTGTCATGTATTGTCTTGGCAGCTATTTTATGTAATCTTTCGGTTGGCTTTACGTCAAATTTTCATAGTTGTTTCTCTTACATTCTTTTGCCGATCTCGGCCACATGTAGATATGGTCACCTTGTGGTCAGTGCGAGTCAGTATTCAGACAAACCGATAAAACTGCAATCAGGAAGCACATTAGCTCTAGTTTTTTTGTTTGTGTTTTCCCACTCTGTCTTCAGGTCTAATTACTGAAGTCCTGTCTGCAATCTGAACATTTTGAATCTATGAAGGAGGGGGACTACAGCAGGATAACATCCAGCCCATGTGATGATGCTTTCATAGCCTGCAGCATTCTGTGAAGACGGATGGTTGCAGAATTTGCTACAATTCTACAAGATTAATGCTAAAGTCTTGTCTGACTAAAGAAATATATGTATACCAAACATGGTGAATTCCAGGAAGAAACCGTTTATTTGTGAGACCTGTGGTAAAGCCTTTACACACCAAGGTTATTTACGCGTACATGAAAAGGTGCACACTGGCGAGAAACCATTTGTTTGTGAGACCTTTGGTAAAGACTTTACCAGGAAAGATCTTCTGAGCAAGCATGACAAGGTGCACACTGGTGAAAAACTGTTTGTTTGTGAGACCTGTGGTAAAGCCTTTACTAGGAAAAGTATCCTGAACAATCATTACAGGGTGCACACTGGTGAAAAACCATTTGTTTGTGAAACCTGTGGTAAAGCTTTTACAAGTCGTGGTTATCTACGCAAACATGACAAGGTGCACACTGGTGAAAAACTGTTTGTTTGTGAGACCTGTGGTAAAGCCTTTTCTAGGAAAGAGATTCTGTGCAGTCATTACAGGGTGCACACTGGTGAGAAACCATTTGTTTGTGAAACCTGTGGTAAAGCATTTTCTGAGAAATGCAGTCTACGCAGACATGACAGGGTTCACACTGGTGTGAAACCCTTTGTTTGTGAGACCTGCGGTGAAGCATTTACACAGAAAGGCAATTTACGCAAGCATGCAAGGGTGCACACTGGCGAGACATCATTCGTTTATGAGTTCTGTGATGAAGTCTTTACACTGAAATTTAGTGAATGCAAACACGACAGGGTGCACACTGTTGAGAAACCATTTGTTTGTGAAACCTGTGGTAAAGCTTTTACTAGTCATGGTTACCTACGCCAACATGACAGGGTGCACACTGGCGAGAAACCATTTGTATGTGAGACCTGTGGAAAAGCTTTTACTAGTCATGATTATCTACGCCAACATGACAGGGTGCACACTGGCGAGAAACCATTTGTTTGTGAGACCTGTGGTAAAGCATTTGCACAGAAAGGCAGTTTACGCCAACATGACAGGGTGCACACTGGTGAGAAACCATTTGTTTGTGAAACTTGTGGTAAAGCTTTTACATGTCATAGTTATCTACGCATACATGACAGGGTGCACACTGGTGAGAAACCATTTGTTTGTAAGACCTGTGGTAAAGCATTTATTGGGAAAGGCAGTCTACGCAGACATGACAGGGTGCACAGTGGTAGTGAGAAACCATTTGTTTGTTAGACCTGTGGTGAAGCATTTACACTGAAATGTAGTCTTCATTAAAAGGATGAGCTCTTGAGGGAAACCATTTCCTAGTGAAACCTATGTGATAGCTTTTACATCCTTGTATGTAAAACATGATGCATTCCAGTAAGAAACCCTTTTGTTGTGAGACCTTTGGTAAAACCTTTACAGTGCGAAGTCATCTACCAAAACTTAACAGGAGACACACTGCTGAGAAACTCTTTGTTTGCGAGAAATGCGGTGAAGCCTTTGCATTCAAAGGTGAACTATGCATCCATGTCAGGGTACATACTGGTGAGAAACCATTTGTTTGTGAGACCTGTGGTAAAGCATTCCCAACGAAAAGTGATTTATGCACACATGTAAGTGTTCACACTGGTGCGAAACCATTTGTTTGTAAGACCTGTGGTAAAGCCTTTAAACAAAAATGCAATTTATGCAAACATGACAGGGTGCACACTGGTGAAAAACCATTTGTTTGTGAGAAATGTGGTGAAGCCTTTACTTACAAAAAAGTCTACGCACACGTGACAGGGTGCATACAGGTGAAAAACCATTTGATTAGTTATACAAAATTAACACAAAAATGCAATAAGATACGATCCCCATTTAAATTATGAACTTGTAATTATATGATTCATGTTACCAAATAAAAACTTGTACATTGATTTGAAATTCAAAAAATGCATGAACTACTTGAAAATTCCATTAAATCAATTAAGTATATGTGCATTAACATTAACTCCTTGCATATTTGATTATTGCGTGAACTCCCCGAATTAAAAGATTACGAAATTAAACTTCTAGACGCTACTGCTTTAAGCATATTCAGATGGAAATCATACGAAATGGAGATGTGCAAATGTAACCTGGAAAAATGAAATGCGCATAGGGGCCACTCGCAAAAGGGTCATTCTATAAATTTGGGGTCCACTTTTTTTCCCGTCCCTGTTACATCTGACATCTATGACTGTATAATTCTGATGCACTCCTTAATGCAGTCATCCTCCAAGAGTGATTATGAATAGCAAACTACCTACCCAACAAATGAACAATCATTTGAAGTCACTTTTAATGATGCTTGAATGGCAAATTACAAAGTACCAAGGTAACAGGGACAGGAAAAATGTCACACTTTGGACCCCAAATTTATAGAATGACCCAAAAACTAAAGACTCATGCATGACTCAGAAAACCTAAACACGGTATCATTTAAAAGCATAGAGATTACGCTTTCAGATGATACCAGTTTTACCATACTTATTCTTTGAAGTTGGGTTTCTTTTTTTTAAACACCCTGTATATTGGCCCGCTCCCATCCATCCTCTCAGATCTCTCTTCCATCCAAGAAGTGGATTAGTGGGACTCTATCTACTGCTGGGTGCACACCTGTAAATAGGCCTAAATCCATCCGCCGAGCTCATGAATAAAAGTTATACCCTCAAAATATTCTATATTAGAGAGTTCTGAGCGCCGTAAAATTGGGAAATTGAAGAGATATGGTAATGAACCTCTGGCCCGGACTTGGGGCTTCCAATTCTGAGCATTTTGTATGCTATTGGGCTCGAAGGTGGCGCTATTTTGCCATGTTGTGGAGGGATCGTTTTTCAAGTTGGCTACTTTTCCGCTTTGGGGAAAACAGGGGTCGTCTTCTTTGGGTGACTGAGAATATCTCGAAAAGTCAATGGCAGAGTTGTAACGAGTCACTGATTTTTGTGACTCGAGTCGAGTCGAGTCATTTTAAAGAAGTGACTCGAGTCGATTCGAGTCATTAGGTCAACAAGGTCGAGTCGAGTCGAGTCGAGTCACAGAGTGTGGTCGAGTCGAGTCGAGTCGAGTCAAGTATTTTGCTCGAGTCAATTCGAGTCACAAATATTTGAACACTAAATTACAATAAAAAGCAACAAACACAAGAGAGAAAGAATACAAGGCACCAGTCTATTACGGAAATCCAAAGACATAAAGTATGCTGTATGGTACCCAACCAACAGTTTCCATTGCTAGCTCACGTCACAGATAAGAAGATGTGAAACTTCGGTCTTATAACCGGTTTGGCTTCGGGTCTAGATTTTGTTGTTCGCTGATCGCTGACAACGTTAAAACCTAATTGCATTATACAAAACTGTTTCTGATTATTTAAAGGTGGGCCCGTCCGTATCCATTTTTTGTGTGAAATCGGGACATGAATTTAGCCAGCGTTCCACCAAGAACTTCAAAATCGCCCGAAACCAATGATGAAACCACGGATTGAGAAATGCGTTTTAAGTCTGGTTCCGGGTTTAGCATTACATGCTATAGAACCACAAGGTGGGAGTCCGCGACACGGTGTATGTTTGTTGTTTCATTATGGAGGAAGGAAACAGACTGCCGCTGTATATAAACGTACATTATTCGCGAACATTAACGTGACGTGAACAAAAACTGGCAACGCGAACGGCGCAGCGTAAGTCATTGCAGATATTTTTCGCAAGTAAGTTTTGCTTTTATTTTGGGACTCGAGTCTTATTAGCCTTCCTCGAGTCGAGTCGAGTCATTCTGATGAGGGACTCGAGTCGAGTCGAGTCATTTGCTCGCAGTGACTCGAGTCGAGTCGAGTCATTTACCCGTCGGGACTCGAGTCGAGTCGAGTCGCCAAAAAATGTGACTCGAGTCGGACTCGAGTCGAGTCATTGACTCGAGTCATTACAACTCTGGTCAATGGTCAACCCACCAAAAAATGAAAAGAAAACGAAAGATGACATGTTGATCTTCATTTTTCTGTGCAGCTTGAATACCTGTGAGAGTTCTGAGTATTTTTAAAAGAATTTTGAAGTATGGGCATTTAGCACTAGTGTCTATGGGAATTTATTTGCACGGTTGCATCCTGCTGAGTTCTTTGGCACAGATAGAGAAGTGCTGATGGTTGATTCGCGGGTAGGGCACCATCAGCAACTCTTGGCTACCTGGTTTATCAGCTTTCTCTGCGGCTTTAAATTTGAGGACGGAGGTGGTCGCGCTGGGATCCGACAGCAGTAACCATGGGTGTGGGTGTCATGCAGCCTGAGATAAGGCGCAGGGCACCACTGATCACAGCATCAATCCTTTTGGTGTAGCAGCTGTGATACCAGGCAGCTACATGTATGTATACAAATAGTGAGTGGCTCAGGGTGAATGGGTGGAATATTATCGCAAGGTAAAATCTGCATGGACCTTTCTATTTCACGAGGCGAAACCGAGTGAACTGGAAAAGTCCAGATTTTACCGAGCGATAATATTCCTCCCATTTCACGATTAAAAGAAACTCAATATTTGTTTTATAGAACTGACGTATAGATCCTTGTCATTTGTTATATTTGAACTTTTATTTCAGTACAGAATTGGTGGAATTTCTCTCTTTTAAACTGGCACCCCTTTACGAAATATTTGAATCCATCTCTGTAGCACTGGCTCTTTGGAACAAAAGGCCTACACTCTACTTGCAATGCTCAATGCGTACACCAGCATGTGTTTGCACACAAATACCGTGCCATGTAACAAGAACAATCCTTACTGTTGAATAATAAATTCCCATTCCCCATGGCTGAATGGGAGTTTTTGAGCCCCGGCTAGCAGTAACGAATGTCACGTGATGTGAGTTCCACCAATCGATTGACAAGCATCTGTATGTTCATAAGATAACTTGAACTAATGCTACATACAGTTTAGGCCCAAAATAAAGTTTCCGGTTTCTGGTATGGAGCTTGCCCAAAAAAATGGTGCGGCGACGCGGCTTTTTTTTTTTTACATGTACCTGTTTTTTTTGCTTCAAATGTATGCCGATAACTGCAAATGGTGCCCGACTAAACTTAGTGCAAATTTATGGGAGTCCAGAGAGGCCACATAAAGCTTAATTCTCGATCATAACCCCATCTAAAAACACGTTAAAATTGTGCAGCAGCAGGATTCCAGTCAAACCAGTGAGTTTGGCGGTTTTGAGACATCATCTTTTATTGAAAAAAAAAACTTGTTCATTTTGCCGACGCGCATGGCTACGGTGACGCGCGCGCAAACCAGGAACCGGAGACTTTTTTTTGGGGGGGGGGGGGGCCTAAGGGGCATTGTTTTAACAAAGCGAGCCATGCAAGAGTGAAAATATAGCAAGAATAAACACAAGTCGGTTCTCGAATCGCGCATCTCACCTGCATTTGCGTAAAAGAGTCACCTTTGACTTTGGTATGTGACCTTTGACATCATGATCATTTGAAGGTTCCCATGTTGCATCTATGACCCAAGTTTGGTTCCATTTGGACATGGAATTGGAAGCCAACTGAATGCATTGAAATCTATGTGTGTAGTTAAAACTCAGCGTACACAACAAAAATATGTGACATGAAAACTTGTGTCATCAGCAACTTGTTTTTTGTTTGTGTTTTCCCACACTTTCTTCAGGTCTAATTACGGGAGTCCTGTCTGGAATCTGAACATTTTGAATCTATGAAGGAGGGGGACTACAGCAGGGTAACATCCAGCCCATGTGATGATGCATTCATAGCCTGCAGCATTCTGTAAAGACGGATGGTTGCAGAATTTGCTGCAAATTCTACAAGATAAATGCTTCAGACAAAAGCAAATGGACAAAATTATTCAAAGCATTTGGTGGTTTTTACCGTGACAAAACATTTCCCACAAGTTCTGAGTTGAATTGTCACCAGATGGTGCACATTAGCTGGTGGGAAACAGTTTGCTTGCGAGACCTGTGGCAAGGCCTTTTTTCTGACTAAAGAAATATATGTACATGTATACCAAACATGGTGAATTCCAGGAAGAAGCGGTTTGTTTGTGAGGCCTGTGGTAAAGCCTTTACACAGAAAGGTAAAATACGCGTACATGAAAAGGTGCACACTGGCGAGAAACCATTTGTTTGTGAGATCTGTGGTAAAGGCTTTACTAGGAAAGGTGTTCTGCGCAATCATACCAAGGTGCACAGGGGTGAGAAACCGTTTGTTTGTGAGACCTGATGTGGTAAAGCCTTTACTAGCAAAGGTATTCTGCGCAATCATTACAAGGTGCACACTGGTGAGAAATCATTTGTTTGTGAGACCTGTGGTAAAGCCTTTATCCAGAAAGTTGATTTACACATACATGAAAGGGTGCACACTGGCGAGGCCCATTTGTTTGTGAGACCCGTGGTAAACATTTACTGAGAAATGCAGTCTACGCAGACATGACAGGGTTCACACCGGTGTGAAACCCTTTGTTAGTGAGACCTGCGGTGAAGCATTTACACAGAAAGGCAATTTACGCAAACGTGACAGGGTGCACACTGGCGAGAAACATTTTCAAATTAGGTTTTGCCCTTCATTATATTTTAAGAGAAATATTTTGTTAAGAGAAACATTTTGTTTGTGAGACCTGCGGTAAAGCCTTTACACACAAAGGTACTTTTCGCAGGCATGAAAGAGTGCACACTGGTGAAAAAACCATTTGTTTGTGAAACCTGTGGTAAATCTTTTACAAGTCATGGTTATCTACGCATACATGACAGGGTGCATACTGGTGAGAAACCATTTGTTTACGAGACCTGTGGTAAAACTTAATGAGAAATGCAGTCTACGCGTGCATGACAAGGTGCACACTGGTGAGAAACCATTTTGTTTGTGAGACCTGTGGTGAAGCATTTACACAGAAAGGCCATTTACGCCAACATGACAGGGTGCACACTGGTGAGAAACCATTTATTTGTGAAACCTGTGGTAAAGCTTTTACATGTCATAGTTATCTACGCATACATGACAGGGTGCACACTGGTGAGAAACCATTTGTTTGTGAGACCTGTGGTAAAGCTTTTACAGAGAAGGGTAGTTTACGCATACATGACAGGGTTCACAGGGGTGAGAAACCATTTGTTTGTGAGAAATGTGGTAAAGCCTTTATTTACAAACAAAGTCTATGCACACATGACAGGGTGCACACAGGTGCAAAACCATTTGATCAATAATACGAAATTAACACAATAATGTAATAAGATATGATCCCCATTTAAATTAAAGAAAACCTCAAAAAGTGTTTATTGATAAAATACGATTGATATTAAAAAGCCAGTATACTTTTGTTATAATCTCGATACATGTTTAGTTATCGAGTTGGCACTGAGGAATAAAGTTTGATGCGTCATCATTCCATAAAAAGATCATATAATCATCAATTCCAGATTGACAACGACAATATACACAATATACAACGTGTGTATATATATATATTCAATTATGAACTTGTAAATATATGATTCATGTTACCTAATAAGAACTTGTACATTGATTTGATATTCAAAAAAATGCATGAACTCCTTGAATTCCATTTAAAGATTACCCCCTCGAGTTGCATTAAAAGATTTGTAAAAACTGAACTCCTTGAATTACGTAATACGTTGTGGATGGCTTCTGACGCTACTGCTTTAAACATTTTCAGATGGAAATTACAAAGTGTAGTTGTGCGGACTTTGTGTTTTACGTGCATGATCCAATAAGCACGCAGTTGCACACTATTATCTTGGTAATGGAATCATTTGGAACTTCTTGAAAAGTGCCGTCTACTATGTGCAGAGTCTGTTACTGCGTGTGTGGTCCACCCTGGGAAAAAAATGCAACAAAAACAACAATACATGTAGAATTTTACTTTTGTTTTATGATTTCTTTGGAATTCTTTTGTAAAGTTCTTGATTTGATTAATTCAGTATTTGATATTTCAATATCTTAATTGTTTTATATATATTTTTTTGAATTTCAAAAAGTCTCAATCAAACTAATTTGACTCATTCAATTGCTAGTCAAGGTCACATTTTGAACGTTTACAAAAGTTTGAATAATTCTGAACAAAAATTTATTTCATGTGATATATGTTTGTATATTTTCTACACATAACATGTAAAATTTGTGTACTATAAAATAATACCCTGTAGATGTACTTTTATCTAATCACAAATTGTGAGAAATGCCATTTTTTTGCATTAAGATTGGATTTGCAAGTCAAATAATTGCCGTGCATACTTGCTCAAAGTGAAGATAGGACCGCAACTTAATATTTTTGATTGAATAATGGCATCATTTGGAAGAAAACAATAATTGAACTGTCGGATTAAGAGAATGTGCCTATGGCACACGCAGTTTTTATGAGCGTTAATTATAGCAATAGAATTCAGTTTGCAAGACCCCCGTTGGTGAATAACGTTTTTTCTTTTTTTGTTTTGTTTTGTTTTGTTTTTGGTGGTTTTTCGGGGGGGGGGATCCACTGAGCTAAAACTTGAAAAAGCTGGTGTGCACCCTTCTTTTGGGGCATTTTTGTTGCTAACGGAAAAGGAATGCACGAAAGCGTGGCCTTTTAATTCCTGGAAGCAGGGATTAAAGTACAATAGTTGTACATGCATGTATACAGTAATTTTTTAATGTGAAATGTGTATTTGTGTTCCTTTTTGTGATAAAGTGCAGTTCTGTCCTTCGTTCAATATTGGGGCGTATTAAAAGACAGAGAGGTTATAATTACTGTGCAATATTGGGGCTTGAACTTTATCCGAGACTCTCTGTACATGTGCCATGCATGCACACTACGAATCTTTGTTACCCATTTTATCCCTTGCAATAAGTCGTATCGCCTTCGGGGCCGGCCGGGGGGGGGGGGGCCTTCCATCACTCGTATAGTCATATAGCCCCATAATGTGGCCAATTTACAGGACTAGCTCCGTAAATAAAGGCGACACTTGGAACATGTAGAACTTTGTCAAGTTTTCATTTTCACATTTTGGACCTTATTTGTAGTTTATTCCCCCCCCCCCCCCCCCCTCTTTAAAGGGATAGAAAATTATCCCCCCCCCCCCTCTCCTTCTGACGCTTTGGGATTTAGATAGGCTTTTATACTATGTGTACATGCATGTACATGCTGTACGTATCGTATTCCCGGCGCCGCGCCGTACGTTGATGACGTGACATGGCAGCCCTTTGCTGACCTTGTTTACAGTGTTAGTGTACTACTAAACGGCGCTATATAGTTCTATCATTGACAGTGTCTCCATCTCCATTGTTTAAGTCAGCAAAATATCCTGCCGGATGCATCAGCGCTAACTTGCGCACTGCGTGTGGAAACTTCTGGTGGATATTACTGATATGTCCCTTGAATTCAGCTAGTGTTGCGCTGTTCACAGCAGCCGAGGAGAGTGAGTTCCAGTGTTTAACAGTTGATACGAAGAATGAATCTTTGAAGGCCCTAGCTTTGTGACTGACTTGAATGAATTTCCCCTGACAGACACACTATGACTCAGGAACTGGCACTAAATAGTCGGTAGGTGGGTGTTTTCTGTAGCGCAACTGAACCCTACACAACTAGTATCCTGCCATGTTTATGAAGCTAAAATACGTACACCACTGAATAATTTGCGAACCACTAGCCCACTGTGTACTGCTGTACGTATCGTATTTTGTGACCCCGGCGCCGCGCCGTACGTCGATGACGTGACATGGCAGCCCTTTCTGCTGACCTTGTTTACAGTGTTAGTGTACTACTAAACGGCGCTATATAGTTCTATCATTGACAGTGTCAATTTCTTTTCCCCTGACAGACACACTATGACTCAGGAACTGGCACTAAATAGACTGTGTGGGGATTCATTAATCAAACTAAACTCTTCTCGCTCGTATTCCCGCCCTGCAAACCATGAGCCGGGGTTCGGGAATGGCTGGCCGATCTTATGCTTAATCTTCGGATTTTTTTCTTCTGTTCATTTTGTCCAAACAAACAGGGAATATCATTGTGATGAGATCATGAGACTGGGAGCTGAGATCATGAGACTGGGAGCTGAAATCTATTTTCAACGTTGTGCTAATGGACGAAGCTTCATTGTACATGTAGGTACACAGAAAACACAAAGGGAGTAATTTGACTCATTATCGTAAAAAATGAGTCATTTTGTCCGTGGATTGACACACTTTGGCTCTCAGTGTCTCACCACACGGACAAAATGACTCATTTTTTACGATATTCAGTCCAATTACTCACTTTGTGTTTTCTGTGTATGTATGCGCATGTAAGCACCGTCGATACCAGTTTTTAATAAGCAATATCTCGGAAATCCAATATTGAGATTATTCGATATATCTATTATCCCATGTAAAAGTTAAAGACCATTACTATTATTAGAGATGAATCTTCAATTAAAAAAAAAAAGTTAGGCCTAAGTCCTAATTTTTGATGGCTTTCTCTGGAGCATATTGATCAACTTTTTAAAATAAATCTCAGCACTGAGATGTTTGTCTGGAAATGCCATTTTTTAACACAGTTTTACGTTGGGGGAGACCGGGAATTACAGAGAATGCAGAGCACAAAGCGAGGCCACTTGAGGCACAAGTTGCCACCGGGTTTTATTTCATTATTCCATAAACGATAAACACAAAGTAAAGGCAGAACCGTGAGATTTAGTTTGACAATCTGTAGCATTTTCAATACTTTTGATTTGATTCCTCAGAATAGAAAATTTCAGTATTTCAATAGGATTAAAAAATTACTATCGTTGATATCGATATCAAATTAATAATAAAAGTTGAGTAATATTATATGCATAGAGCTATCGACAGTGCTTATGCACATGTTGTTTTCAGAACATACATGAAGGCGAAAAGTTTTGTCCAGTTTGAAATAATTACAATAAGTCAAAATTGTTTATCCGTAACCCATGCCAGTGGCGTAAATCTGTGTTGGCGAGTGGGGGATGAGGGATGACCAAAATGATAAATCCAAAACTTCTTCTGTGTTTGTGCTTTCCCCACACCCTTTTCAGGTGACGAGTGCAATTAATGGAGTCCTGTCTGGAATGTGACTAGATTTGGATCAGTGAAGGAGGGAGACTTCAGCGGGGTGACATCCAGGCCATTGTGATGATGCTTTCATAGTCTGCAGCATTCTGTGAAAGCGGATGGTTGCAGAATTTGCTACAAAATACAAGATAAACCGCATCAGAGATATGGATAAAAGCATTCCAGGCATTTGGTTGTTTTTCCTATGACAAAACATTTCCATCAAGTTCTGAGTTGGAATGGTCACCAGATGGTGCATATTAGCTGGTGGATAACAGTTTGCTTGCGAGACCTGAGGCAAAGTCTTTTCTGACTAAAGAAATGTGCCAAACATGGTGAATTCCAGCAAGAAACCGTTTGTTTGTGAGGCCTGTGGTAAAGCCTTTACACAGAAAGGTACTTTACGCGTACATGAAAAGGTGCACACTGGTGAAAAAACATTTGTTTGTGAGACCTCTGGTAAAGTATTTACAACGAAGGTTAGTCTACGCAAACATGACAGGGTGCACACAGGTGAGAAACCATTTAGTTGTAAGACCTGCGGTAAAGCTTTTACAAGTCATAGTCATCTACGCGAACATGAGAGGGTTCATACAGGTGAGAAACCATTTGTTTGTGAGACCTGTGGTAAAGCTTTTCCATATCATAGTTATCTACGCATACATGACAGGGTTCACACTGGTGAGAAACCATTTAGTTGTAAGACCTGCGGTAAAGCTTTTACAAGTCATAGTCATCTACGCGTACATGAGAGGGTGCACACAGGCGAGAAACCATTTGTTTGTGAGACCTGTGGTAAAGCCTTTACAGAGAAGGCTAGTCTACGCCATCATGACAGGGTGCACACTGGTGAGAAACCATTTATTTGTGAAACCTGTGGTAAAGCTTTTACAAAGCATAGTCAACTACGCCTACATGACATGAGGGTGCACACACGCGAGAAACCATTTGTTTGTGAGACCTGTGGTAAAGCCTTTACAGAGAAGTCTAGTCTACGCATACATGAGAGGGTGCACACTGGTGAGAAACCATTCGTTTGTGAGACCTGTGGTAAAGCATTTACTGGCAAAAGAAGTCTACGCAAACATGACAGGGTGCACACTGGTGAGAAACCATTTATTTGTGAAACCTGTGGTAAAGCTTTTAAAAATCATTGTCTTGTACACAGACATAACAGGATGCACACAGGCGAGAAACCTTTTGTTTGTGAGACCTGTGGTAAAGCCTTTACAAGGAATGCTAGTCTACGCAAACATGACAGAGTGCACACTGGTGAGAAACCATTTATTTGTGAAACCTGTGGTAAAGCTTTTACATGTCATAGTTATCTACGCATACATTACAGGGTGCACACTGGTGAGAAACCATTTGTTTGTGAGACCTGTGGTAAGGCCTTTACAAGGAAAGTTAGTCTACGCAAACATGACAGAGTGCACACTGGTGAGAAACCATTTATTTGTGAAACCTGTGGTAAAGCTTTTACATGTCATAGTTATCTACGCATACATTACAGATTGCACACTGGTGAGAAACCATTTAGTTGTAAGACCTGTGGTAAAGCCTTTACGCAGAAAAGTGGTGTACGCCAACATGACAGGATGCACACTGGCGAAAAACCATTTGTTTGTAAGATCTGTGGTAAAACCTATACACGGTCAAGTAGTCTTATCTTACATGGCAGGATGCACACTGGTGAAAACCATTTGTTTGTAAAACCTGTGGTAAAGCCTTTGCAAAGCGATGTAATCTAACCAAACATGTTCGGTTGTTTAAAAGTGGGCATGTATCTATTTAATTTATATTCATAAATACCTAAGACAGTTTACCCATTCCTATTGGCCGAGAGCCCGTCACGTGGCCGGTCTTAAACGGATGATAAAGACATGACTAGCTGGTCTTAAACACTTTTCCAGTGTCACATGAAATTTGGACTTTACAAATCCAGTGCCTCTTAACGTTCATAATACTCACGTATGCATGCGCAATACTACCAGTGAGTCAGTATTTTATAGTCCTAAATTCAAAACGCAACGCCCCAGGTGTATTCTGCGCGACCGCGCGCGTCAATCTCCTTATAAGGTAAGGAATTGTAGAGGGAAATTCCATATTATAGTCAGTGGGGTGTATGATACAACATGAAGTAAAATTGTGAGCAAAAAAGTTAGCAATGTCCAGTTTTTGATTTGTTTTGATTTTTTTTTTTACCGAAAAGGTATTTATGAATGGGAATAAATGTGTGTTCGGTCGGTATTAAACACTCTCTCTGTTTAAGACCGGTTTGAGTCTGGATGGGTGATAATTACCCTCGGCTTTGCCTCGGGTAATTATCGCCCACCCAGACTCACACCGGTCTTAAACAGACTGTTGTAATACCTCCTAAACACACATTTATTGCCTTATTAAAAGGAGACTAATGGGGCCAAGCCCGCTGGAACAAATGTTTGCCAGGGGGTGCTGGGATTTCTAAAGGACGGACAAAATTAATGCGAACGCGGAGCGCAACGGCGTGGCTTAACCCTAAAAGGGCCGCGTTATTTTGACCATCTCTCAGCCCGGGGGGGGGGGGGGTGGATTCCGTAAGTCCCCGTAAGATCTTGATTGAAACCGGTTGTCCCGGTTGAAAAGATAATCTCGATCAAAATCGTTAGCAAAATCGCTACATCAGAGTTCAGCGTTTAGAGGAGCATTGGCGGTCTGGCCGTACTACAGAGCTTGCGATAGTACTGTACGGTCAGATGCAGTCAGGCTAATCATAAACGTACCCAAGAAATGTCGTGACTATATGTCAAAGGGTTTTCGAATCATGGCGAATTAATTATTCATATTTACGAATGATAATTGTACTTTGTGTACAAAGTCATGACGTACATGGGAAAATTCAGTTTTTACGGCGCGCGGCAACCCGTGGTCCGATTTTTATGTTTTTCGCATCAAAAGATGCGCAAGGCTCGAAAGGTCATAACAGCTCGGATTGCGAAAAATGTTTGTTTTTTTCAAAGCTATCGCGGAAATAGGAAAGGGGCGGATTCCGCCCCGGCCCTTTTAGGGTTAAAGGGCTCCTAAAGTTTTGGAATATGGATGATCTGTGGTGCAATCTAAGGTTATTCCTGGCCACTTTCATACGACTTTATTAGCAAAAGTTTCTTGAGATTTTCAAGACAATTTATTTCATTATTTTGTTTAGAATATACTCTTGCTCTTATAACGTTTCTACTGTACTGAAAAGTCGGAAACGGTGTATTTTTATCTCAATTTTTTGTTTCATTTAATTCTGGAAAAAAAATTGTATCATTATGCATGACATCGTATGCAAATATTATTGTTGCAGGGCTGCTTTCTTACAATTAGTAAATTCCTTCGTGTATGTTTTGTTTTATTTTCCGAGCTCTTTAATAATGCACTGTGATGAATAGGCCTATAGGTAGTCGGGCAGCCATAGGGGTGTGGGTCATGTTTTGGTGGATATATAATGCTTTTGTGTATAACCAAGAAGGTCATACTATTCAAGAATTTGCATGATGACATCTTCAGTAAGGGTTGAGCAATTTTCGATATCGATTATTTATTGAGTGATCGGGCACAATTTTAAAGTGACTTAAAATTATGTTGCACCGTTGCAAATATGTTTCTGAACGTTTTGCGTTTATTTTGGGGACTTAAGTCGTTTCAGCCTTCGCTCAAGTTGAGTCGAGTCAACTCTTGTGATGAAGGACTCGAGTTGAGTCCAGTCGTTTGCTCAAGTGACTTGGGTCGAGTGTCATTTACCCTCAGTAGGGACTGAGTCAAGTCGAGTCACCAAAAAGATTGACTGAAGTCGTATTTGAGTGTAGCCTTTAGTCAAGTCCCACGCGCCTACCCGGACACGTGACGCACCCCGGATGCTGACACGTTAGATGATTGGTTTATATTGCTTGATTTATATTACGTGAATAAATGAATAAGTGATTAGTTCCGCGAGATAGTAAAGGCCCTCGTACTAGTCTTTTTACGTGTCCGGATGGTCCGGTATGGGCGCGGGGGACTTGACTAGAGGCTAATTTGAGTGGAGTCATTGACTCTAGATAGTCATCGCAACTCTGGCCAGATGCTGTGAGGCATTTCCATGCACAAGCTCGTATCGTTAGTACCGAAACATATACAATGTATGTTTTGTCTCCTGAGGTTTTGAAAATTAAGGACACGTGGAAATCATTTATTTATTGCTCATTTCAGCTGGACAAAGACCTTCTTAATTGTGAAGGTTTTTTGTTTTTGCTCCAAAAGTGCATCTTCCAGAGACAGTGCATGGGAAGTTAGTGCCCCCACAGTGGTTACTTAGAGGAATGAGTTGGAGACTACCGGCAGAGACTCTTGAACACGTTAGATAGATAGGTAGACTGGTTTATTAAAAAAATCATCGTACGTGGCGGCACATTCAGATGGCAATACAATGTTAAACCATTAGAAACAGAAGAAAAATCACTTAATACGAAATTAACACAAAAATGCAATAAGATACGATCCCCGTTTAAATTAAGAAACAAATTTTAAAAAGTGTTAATGTTTAAAAAACGATTGATATTAAAAAGTCAGTTTATTTTGTAATAATCATTACAGTCATCGAAATTGCACTGAGGAATAAAGAATAATTCGTCAACATCCCATAAAAGATCATATCAACATCTCGAGATTCACATATATTCAATTATGAACTTGTAATTATATGATTCATGTTATCAAATAAGAACTTTAACTTGTACGTTGATTTGATATTTTAAAAATACATGAGCATCTTGAATTACATTAAATCAAATAAGTACCTCCTTGCATGTTTGATTAACGCATGAACTCCTTCCATATTTGATTAATAAATGAACTCCCTGCATATTTGATTAATGCATGAACTCACCCAATTACATCGAAAAATTACCTCCTTGAATTGCATTAAAAGATTTGTAAAAAATGAACTCCTTGAATTACGTAAATGTAATACGTTGTGGATGGCTTCTGACGCTGCTGCTTTAAAACATTTCAGATGGAAATTACAAAGTGTAGTTGTGCGGACTTTGTGTTTTACGTGCATGATCCAATAAGCACGCAGTGGCACACTATTATCTTGGTAATGGAATCATTTGGAACTTCTTGAAAAGTGCTGTTTACTAATTGTGTGCAGAGTCTGTTATTAAGTGTGTGGTCCACCCCGGGGAAAAAATGCAACAAAAACAACAATAGAATTTCAATTTTGTTTTATGATTTCTTTGGAAATCTCTTTTGGAAAAGTTCTTGATTTGATTAATTCAATATTTGATATTTCAATATCTTAATTGTTTTTATTTATATATATTTTTTTAAAACTAAAGAATTTCAAAAAGAATGAATCAAACTAATTTGACTCATTTAATTGCTAGTCAAGGTCACATTTTGAACGTTTACAAAAGTTTGAATAATTCTGAACAAAAATCTATTTCAAGTGATGATGTTTGTATGTTTTGTAAACAACCTGTAATTAAATTTGTGTACTAAAAAATAACACCCTTTCAATGTACTTTTTTTTCTAATCACAAATTGTGAGAAATGCCATTTTTTGGCATTGAGATTGGATTTGCAAGTCAATATTTTTGATTGAATGATGGTATCATTTGGAAGAAAACAATATTTGAACTGTGGGATTAGGAGAATGTGACTATGGCACAGTTTGTGTGAGCGTTAATTTACAATAGAATCAAGTTTGCAAGACCCCCGTTGGTCAATAATGTTTTCTCTGGGGGTTTTGGTTTTTTTGGGGGGGGGATCCACTGAGCTAAAACTTGAAAGTGGTGTGCACCCTTCTTTTGGGGCAGTTTTGTTGCTAACGGAAAAGGAATTAATGCACGAAAGCTTGTGGCTTTTTGCTTGAAGCAGTGATTAAAGTACAATAGTTGTACATGCATGTACAGTATTTTTCAATGGTGTATTTGTTTTCCTTTTTGTGATAAATAACTTGTATAAGGCCAAGACAAAATACTCGGTCTCTGGTCAGCGTGCGCGTCAATTTTAATCATGCGCGTCAACCTTTTTCTTCTTCTTCAAATTAACACGGAAGCTACAACAGCGCCCTCAAATGGTGCACGACTAATGGGGGGTGGGGGGGGGGGTCTCGTCCAGTAGGTGTTTTCTGTAGCGCTACTGCATTCTACACAACTGTTATCCTGCCATGTACAATGTAACCATTGAATAATCTGCGAACCACTAGCGATAGCCCACTGTGTACTGCTGTACCTATCGTATTTTGTGACCCCGGCGCCGCGCCGTACGTTGATGACGTGGTAAGGCGGCCCTTTCTGACCTTGTTTACAGTGTTAGTGTAGTACATGTACATGTACATGTACATGTATTGCCATCAGCGCTATATAGCTCTGTCATTGACGGTGTCCATTTCTTTTCCCCTGACATGACTCAGGAACTGGCACTAAATAGACTGTGTGGGGATTCGATCATTAATCAAACTAAACTAACTTTTCGCTCGTATCCCCGCCCTGCATATGCAAACCATGAGCCGGGGATCGGGAATGGCTGGCCGATCTTATGCTTCAACTTCGGAGTTTTTTTTCTTCTGTTCATTTTGTCCAAACAAACAGGGAATATCATTGTGATGAGATCATGAGACTCGAAGCTGAAAACTATTTTCAACGTTGTGCTCATTGTACATGTAGGTATGTATGCGCATAAGCACTGTCGATACCAGAATTTTCAATAATCGATATCTCGGAAATCCAATATTTAGATTATTCGATATATCAATTATCCCATACATAAGTTAAAGACCATTACTATTAGAGATGATACTTCAATTAAAAAAAAATGTTAAGTCCCAATTTTCGATGGCTTTTTCTGGAGCATATTGATCAACTTTTTTAAATAAATCTCAGCACAGAGAGTTTGTCTAGAAAGGCCATTTTTTTTTAAAACAGTTTTACGTTGGGGGAGACCGGGAATAACAGAGAATGCAGAGCACAAAGCGAGGCCACTTGGCATATTTAGGCACAAGTTGCCACCGGATTTTATTTCATTATACCGTTAACGATACAAAGTAACAACCGTGAGATTTATTTTGACGATAATCTGTAGCATTTTCAATACTTTTGATTTGATTCCTCAGAATAGAAAATTTCAATATTTCAATAGGATTAAAAAAAATACTATCATTGATATCGATATCAAATTAATAATGAAAGTTGAGTAATGTTATATGCATAGAGTTATCGACGGCCCTTATGCACATGTTGTTTTCAGAACATACATGAAGGCGAAAAGTTTTGCCAAGTTTGAAATAATTACAATAAGTCAAAATTGTTTATCCGTAACCCATGCCAGTGGCGTAAATCTGTGTTGGCGAGTGGGGGATGAGGGATGACCAAAATGATAAATCCAAAACTTCTTCGTTGTTTGTGCTTTCCCCACACCCTTTTCAGGTGACGAGTGCAATTAATGGAGTCCTGTCTGGAATGTGACTAGATTTGAATCAGTGAAGGAGGGAGACTTCAGCGGGGTGACATCCAGCCCATTGTAATGATGCTTTCATAGTCTGCAGCATTCTGTGAAAGCGGATGGTTGCAGAATTTGCTACAAAATACAAGATAAACCGCATCAGAGATATGGATAAAAGCATTCCAGGCATTTGGTTGTTTTTCCTATGACAAAACATTTCCATCAAGTTCTGAGTTGGAATGGTCACCAGATGGTGCATATTAGCTGGTGGGTAACAGTTTGCTTGCGAGACCTGAGGCAAAGTCTTTTCTGACTAAAGAAATGTGCCAAACATGGTGAATTCCAGCAAGAAACCGTTTGTTTGTGAGGCCTGTGGTAAAGCCTTTACACAGAAAGGTACTTTACGCGTACATGAAAAGGTGCACACTGGTGAAAAACCATTTGTTTGTGAGACCTCTGGTAAAGTATTTACAACGAAGGTTAGTCTACGCAAACATGACAGGGTGCACACAGGTGAGAAACCATTTAGTTGTAAGACCTGCGGTAAAGCTTTTACAAGTCATAGTCATCTACGCGAACATGAGAGGGTTCATACAGGTGAGAAACCATTTGTTTGTGAGACCTGTGGTAAAGCTTTTCCATATCATAGTTATCTACGCATACATGACAGGGTGCACACTGGTGAGAAACCATTTAGTTGTAAGACCTGTGGTAAAGCTTTTACAAGTAATAGTCATCTACGCGTACATGAGAGGGTGCACACAGGCGAGAAACCATTTGTTTGTGAGACCTGTGGTAAAGCCTTTACAGAGAAGGCTAGTCTACGCCATCATGACAGGGTGCACACTGGTGAGAAACCATTTATTTGTGAAACCTGTGGTAAAGCTTTTACAAAGCATAGTCATCTACGCCTACATGACATGAGGGTGCACACACGCGAGAAACCATTTGTTTGTGAGACCTGTGGTAAAGCCTTTACAGAGAAGTCTAGTCTACGCATACATGAGAGGGTGCACACTGGTGAGAAACCATTCGTTTGTGAGACCTGTGGTAAAGCATTTACTGGCAAAAGAAGTCTACGCAAACATGACAGGGTGCACACTGGTGAGAAACCATTTATTTGTGAAACCTGTGGTAAAGCTTTTAAAAATCATTGTCTTGTACACAGACATCGCAGGATGCACACAGGCGAGAAACCTTTTGTTTGTGAGACCTGTGGTAAAGCCTTTACAAGGAATGCTAGTCTACGCAAACATGACAGAGTGCACACTGGTGAGAAACCATTTATTTGTGAAACCTGTGGTAAAGCTTTTACATGTCATAGTTATCTACGGATACATTACAGGGTGCACACTGGTGAGAAACCATTTGTTTGTGAGACCTGTGGTAAAGCCTTTACAAGGAATGTTAGTCTACGCAAACATGACAGAGTGCACACTGGTGAGAAACCATTTATTTGTGAAACCTGTGGTAAAGCTTTTACATGTCATAGTTATCTACGCATACATGACAGGATGCACACTGGTGAGAAACCATTTAGTTGTAAGACCTGTGGTAAAGCCTTTACGCAGAAAAGTGGTGTACGCCAACATGACAGGATGCACACTGGCGAAAAACCATTTGTTTGTAAGATCTGTGGTAAAACCTATACCCGGTCAAGTAGTCTTATCTTACATGGCAGGGTGCACACTGGTGAAAACCATTTGTTTGTAAAACCTGTGGTAAAGCCTTTGCAAAGCAATGTAATCTAACCAAACATGTTCGGTTGTTTAAAAGTGGGCATGTATCTATTTAATTTATATTCATAAATACCTAAGACAGTTTACCCATTCCTATTGGCCGAGAGCCCGTCACGTGGCCGGTCTTAAACGGATGATAAAGACATGACTAGCTGGTCTTAAACACTTTTCCAGTGTCACATGAAATTTGGACTTTACAAATCCAGTGTCTCTTAACGTTCATAATACTCACGTATGCATGCGCAATACTACCAGTGAGTCAGTATTTTATAGTCCTAGATTCAAAACGCAATGTATTCTGCGCGACCGCGCGCGTCAATCTCCTTACAAGGTAAGGAATTGTAGAGGGAAATTCCATATTATAGTCAGTGGGGTGTATGATACAACATGAAGTAAAATTGTGAGCAAAAAAGTTAGCAATGTCCAGTTTTTGACTTGTTTTGATTTTTTTTTTACCGAAAAGGTATTTATGAATGGGAATAAATGTGTGTTCGGTCGGTATTAAACACACTCTCTGTTTAAGACCGGTTTGAGTCTGGATGGGTGATAATTACCCTCGACTTTGCCTCGGGTAATTTTCGCCCACCCAGACTCACACCGGTCTTAAACAGACTGTTGTAATACCTCCCAAACACACATTTATTGCCTTATTAAAAAGAGACTAATGGGGCCAAGCCCGCTGGAACAAATGTTTGCCAGGGGGTGCTGGGATTTCTAAAGGACGGACAAAATTAATGCGAACGCGGAGCGCAACGGCGTGGCTTAACCCTAAAAGGGCCGCGTTATTTTGACCATCTCTCAGCCCGGGGGGGGGGGGGGGGTGGATTCCGTAAGTCCCCGTAAGATCTTGATTGAAACCGGTTGTCCCGGTTGAAAAGATAATCTCGATCAAAATCGTTAGCAAAATCGCTACATCAGAGTTCAGCGTTTAGGGGAGCATTGACGGTCTGGCCGTACTACAGAGCTTGCGATAGTACTGTACGGTCAGATGCAGTCAGGCTAATCATAAACGTACACAAGAAATGTCGTGACTATATGTCAAAGGGTTTTCGAATCATGGCGAATTAATTATTCATATTTACGAATGATAATTGTACTCTGTGTACAAAGTCATGACGTACATGGGAAAATTCAGTTTTTACGGCGCGCGGCAACCCGTGGTCCGATTTTTATGTTTTTCGCATCAAAAGATGCGCAAGGCTCGAAATGTCATAACAGCTCGGATTGCGAAAAATGTTTGTTTTTTTCAAAGCTATCGCGGAAATAGGAAAGGGGCGGATTCCGCCCCCGGCCCTTTTAGGGTTAAAAGGCTCCTAAAGTTTTGGAATATGGATGATCTGTGGTGCAATCTAAGGTTATTCCTGGCCACTTTCATACGACTTTATTAGCAAAAGTTTCTTGAGATTATCAAGACAATTTATTTCATTATTTTGTTTAGAATATACTCTTGCTCTTATAACGTTTCTACTGTACTGAAAAGTCGGAAACGGTGTATTTTTATCTCAATTTTTTTGTTTCATTTAATTCTGGAAAAAAATTGTATCATTATGCATGACATCGTATGCAAATATTATTGTTGCAGGGCTGCTTTCTTACAATTAGTAAATTCCTTCGTGTATGTTTTGTTTTCACTGTGATGAATATAGGTAGTCGGGCAGCCATAGGGGTGTGGGTCATGTTTTGGTGGATATATAATGCTTTTGTGTATAACCAAGAAGGTCATACTATTCAAGAATTTGCATGATGACATCTTCAGTAAGGGTTGAGCAATTTTCGATATCGATTATTTATTGAGTGATCGGGCACAATTTTAAAGTGACTTAAAATTATGTTGCATCGTTGCAAATATGTTTCTGAACGTTTTGCGTTTATTTTGGGGACTTAAGTCGTTTCAGCCTTCGCTCAAGTTGAGTCGAGTCAACTCTTGTGATGAAGGACTCGAGTTGAGTCCAGTCGTTTGCTCAAGTGACTTTGGTCGAGTGTCATTTACCCTCAGTAGGGACTGAGTCAAGTCGAGTCACCAAAAAGATTGACTGAAGTCATATTTGAGTGTAGCCTTTAGTCACGTCCCACGCGCCTACCCGGACACGTGACGCACCCCAGATGCTGACACGTTAGATGATTGGTTTATATTGCTTGATTTATATTACGTGAATAAATGAATAAGTGATAAGTTCCGCGAGATAGTAAAGGCCCTCGTGCTAGTCTTTTTACGTGCCAGCATCAGGGGTGCGTTACGTGTCCGGATGGTCCGGTATAGGCGCGGGGGACTTGACTAGAGGCTAATTTGAGTGGAGTCATTGACTCTAGATAGTCATCGCAACTCTGGTCAGATGCTGTGAGGCATTTCCATGCACAAGCTCGTATCGTTAGTACCGAAACGTATACAATTTTTGTTTTGTCTCCTGAAAGTTTTGAAAATTAAGGACACGTGGAAATCATTTATTTATTGCTCATTTCAGCTGGACAAAGACCTTCTTAGGTCTAATTGTGAAGGTTTTTTTTTTGCTCCAAAAGTGCATCTTCCAGAGACAGAGAGTTCTTAATGTGCATGGGAAGTAAGTGCCCCCACAGTGGTTAATACTTAGAGGAATGAGTTGGAGACTACCGGCAGAGACTCTTGAACACGTTAGATAGATAGGTAGACTGGTTTATTAAAAAATCATCGTGGCGGCACATTCAGATGGCACTACAATGTTAAACCATTAGAAACAAAAGAAAAAAATCACTTAATACGAAATTAACACAAAAATGCAATAAGATACGATCCCCGTTCAAATTAAGAAACAAACTTTAAAAAGTGTTAATGTTTAAAAAACGATTGATATTAAAAAGTCAGTTTATTTTGTAATAATCATTACAGTCATCGAAATTGCACTGAGGAATAAAGAATGATTCGTCAACATCCCATAAAAGATCATATCAACATCTCGAGATTCACATATATTCAATTATGAATTTGTAATTATATGATTCATGTTATCAGATAAGAACTTTAACTTGTACGTTGATTTGATATTTTACAAATGCATGAGCATCTTGAATTACATTAAATCAAATAAGTACCTCCTTGCATATTTGATTAACGCATGAACTCCTTCCATATTTGATTAATAAATGAACTCCCTGCATATTTGATTAATGCATGAACTCACCCAATTACATCGAAAAATTACCTCCTTGAATTGCATTAAAAGATTTGTAAAAAATGAACTCCTTGAATTACGTAAATGTAATACGTTGTGGATGGCTTCTGACGCTGCTGCTTTAAAAAATTTCAGATGGAAATTACAAAGTGTAGTTGTGCGGACTTTGTGTTTTACGTGCATGATCCAATAAGCACGCAGTGGCACACTATTATCTTGGTAATGGAATCATTTGGAACTTCTTGAAAAGTGCTGTTTACTAATTGTGTGCAGAGTCTGTTATTAAGTGTGTGGTCCACCCCGGGGAAAAAATGCAACAAAAACAACAATAGAATTTCAATTTTGTTTTATGATTTCTTTGGAAATCTCTTTTGGAAAAGTTCTTGATTTGATTAATTCAATATTTGATATTTCAATATCTTAATTGTTTTTATTTATATATATTTTTTTAAACTAAAGAATTTCAAAAAGAATGAATCAAACTAATTTGACTCATTTAATTGCTAGTCAATGTCACATTTTGAACGTTTACAAAAGTTTGAATAATTCTGAACAAAAATCTATTTCAAGTGATGATGTTTGTATGTTTTGTAAACAACCTGTAATTAAATTTGTGTACTATAAAATAACACCCTGTCAATGTACTTTTTTTTCTAATTACAAATTGTGAGAAATGCCATTTTTTGGCATTGAGATTGGATTTGCAAGTCAATATTTTTGATTGAATGATGGTATCATTTGGAAGAAAACAATATTTGAACTCTGGGATTAGGAGAATGTGACTATGGCACAGTTTGTGTGAGCGTTAATTTACAATAGAATCAAGTTTGCAAGACCCCCGTTGGTCAATAATGTTTTCTCTGGGGGTTTTGGTTTTTTTGGGGGGGGGGGATCCACTGAGCTAAAACTTGAAAGTGGTGTGCACCCTTCTTTTGGGGCAGTTTTGTTGCTAACGGAAAAGGAATTAATGCACGAAAGCTTGTGGCTTTTTGCTTGAAGCAGTGATTAAAGTACAATAGTTGTACATGCATGTACAGTATTTTTCAATGGTGTATTTGTTTTCCTTTTTGTGATAAATAACTTGTATAAGGCCAAGACAAAATACTCGGTCTCTGGTCAGCGTGCGCGTCAATTTTAATCATGCGCGTCAACCTTTTTCTTCTTCTTCAAATTAACACGGAAGCTACAACAGCGCCCTCAAATGGTGCACGACTAATGGGGGGTGGGGGGTCTCGTCCGGTAGGTGTTTTCTGTAGCGCTACTGCATTCTACACAACTGTTATCCTGCCATGTACAATGTAACCATTGAATAATCTGCGAACCACTAGCGATAGCCCACTGTGTACTGCTGTACCTATCGTATTTTGTGACCCCGGCGCCGCGCCGTACGTTGATGACGTGTAAGGCGGCCCTTTCTGACCTTGTTTACAGTGTTAGTGTAGTACATGTACATGTACATGTATTGCCATCAGCACTATATAGCTCTGTCATTGACGGTGTCCATTTCTTTTCCCCTGACATGACTCAGGAACTGGCACTAAATAGACTGTGTGGGGATTCGATCATTAATCAAACTAAACTAACTTTTCGCTCGTATCCCCGCCCTGCATATGCAAACCATGAGCCGGGGATCGGGAATGGCTGGCCGATCTTATGCTTCAACTTCGGAGTTTTTTTCTTCTGTTCATTTTGTCCAAACAAACAGGGAATATCATTGTGATGAGATCATGAGACTCGAAGCTGAAAACTATTTTCAACGTTGTGCTCATTGTACATGTAGGTATGTATGCGCATAAGCACTGTCGATACCAGAATTTTCAATAATCGATATCTCGGAAATCCAATATTTAGATTATTCGATATATCAATTATCCCATACATAAGTTAAAGACCATTACTATTAGAGATGATACTTCAATTAAAAAAAAATGTTAAGTCCCAATTTTCGATGGCTTTTTCTGGAGCATATTGATCAACTTTTTTAAATAAATCTCAGCACAGAGAGTTTGTCTAGAAAGGCCATTTTTTTTTAAAAACAGTTTTACGTTGGGGGAGACCGGGAATAACAGAGAATGCAGAGCACAAAGCGAGGCCACTTGGCATATTAAGGCACAAGTTGCCACCGGATTTTATTTCATTATACCGTTAACGATACAAAGTAACAACCGTGAGATTTATTTTGACGATAATCTGTAGCATTTTCAATACTTTTGATTTGATTCCTCAGAATAGAAAATTTCAATATTTCAATAGGATTAAAAAAAATACTATCATTGATATCGATATCAAATTAATAATGAAAGTTGAGTAATGTTATATGCATAGAGTTATCGACGGTGCTTATGCACATGTTGTTTTCAGAACATACATGAAGGCGAAAAGTTTTGCCAAGTTTGAAATAATTACAGTAAGTCAAAATTGTTTATCCGTAACCCATGCCAGTGGCGTAAATCTGTGTTGGCGAGTGGGGGATGAGGGATGACCAAAATGATAAATCCAAAACTTCTTCGTTGTTTGTGCTTTCCCCACACCCTTTTCAGGTGACGAGTGCAATTAATGGAGTCCTGTCTGGAATGTGACTAGATTTGAATCAGTGAAGGAGGGAGACTTCAGCGGGGTGACATCCAGCCCATTAATTGTGATGATGCTTTCATAGTCTGCAGCATTCTGTGAAATGCGGATGGTTGCAGAATTTGCTACCAGATACAAGATAAACCGTATCAGAGATATTGATAAAAGCATTCCAGGCATTTGGTTGTTTTTCCTGTGACAAAACATTTACATCAAGTTCCGAGTTGAATGGTCACCAGATGGTGCATATTAGCTGGTGGGAAACAGTTTGCTTGCGAGACCTGTGACAAAGTCTTTTCTGACTAAAGAAATGTACCAAACATGGTGAATACCAGGAAGAAGCGGTTTGTTTGTGAGGCCTGTGGTAAAGCCTTTACACAGAAAGGTACTTTACGCGTACATGAAAAGGTGCACACTGGTGAAAAAACATTTGTTTGTGAGACCTCTGGTAAAGTATTTACAACGAAGGTTAGTCTACGCAAACATGACAGGGTGCACACAGGTGAGAAACCATTTAGTTGTAAGACCTGCGGTAAAGCTTTTACAAGTCATAGGGATCTACGCGTACATGAGAGGGTTCATACAGGTGAGAAACCATTTAGTTGTAAGACCTGTGGTAAAGCTTTTTCGTATCAGAATTATCTACGCATACATGACAGGGTGCACACAGGCGAGAAGCCATTTTTTTGTAAGACCTGTGGTAAAGCCTTTACAAGTAATAGTGATCTACGCAAACATGACAGGGTGCACACAGGTGAGAAACCATTTAGTTGTAAGACCTGCGGTAAAGCTTTTACAAGGCATAGTGTTCTACGCGTACATGACAGGGTGCACACAGGCGAGAAACCATTTGTTTGTAAGACCTGTGGTAAAGCTTTTTCATATCATAATTATCTACGCATACATGACAGGGTGCACACAGGCGAGAAACCATTTGTTTGTAAGACCTGTGGTAAAGCCTTTAAAGAGAAGGGTAGTCTACGCATACATGACAGGGTGCACACAGGCGAAAAACCATTTCTTTGTGAGACCTGTGGTAAAGCCTTTACAGATAAGGGTAGTCTACGCAAACATAACAGGGTGCACACTGGTGAGAAACTATTTATTTGTGAAACCTGTGGTAAAGCTTTTACAAATCATGGTCAACTACGCATACACGACAGGGTGCACACTGGTGAGAAACCATTTATTTGTGAAACCTGTGGTAAAGCTTTTACAAATCATGGTCAACTACGCATACATGACAGGGTGCACACACGCGAGAAACCATTTGTTTGTGAGACCTGTGGTAATGCATTTACAGAGAAGGCTAGTCTACGCATACATGACAGGGTGCACACTGGTGAGAAACCATTCGTTTGTGAGACCTGTGGTAAAGCTTTTACATATCGTAGTTCTCTACGCATACATGACAGGGTGCACACAGGCGAAAAACCATTTCTTTGTAAGACCTGTGGTAAAGCCTTTACAGATAAGGGTAGTCTACGCAAACATAACAACAGGGTGCATGCTGGTGAGAAACCATTTAGTTGTAAGACCTGTGGTAAAGCCTTTACGCAGAAAAGTGGTCTATGCCAACATGACAAGATGCACACTGGCGAAAAACCATTTGTTTGTAAGACCTGTGGTAAAGCCTTTGCAAAGCGACGTAATCTAGCCAAACATTTCAGGTTGTTTAAAAGTGGGCATGTATCTATTTAATTTTTATTGAAAGGAGACTAATGGGGGCCAAGCCCGCTGGAACAAACTTTTGCCAGGGGGTGCTGAAATTTCTAAAGAAAGGACAAAATTAATGCGAACCCTAAAAGGGCCGGGTTATTTTGACCATCTCTCAGACCGGGGGGGGGGGGATGGATTCCGCCCCCCTAATATCTCGGCCATTGAATGACGAAAAATTTTGAAACCCGGTGCATGCATAAAGCAACTCATCATAAACATACCAAATGTTGTGACTATAGGTCAAAGGTTTTCGAATCATGGCTAATTAATTAATCATATTTACGAATGGTAATTGTGCTCTGTGTACATGACGTATATGGGAAAATTCAGTTTTGACGGCGCGCGGCAACCCGGTGTCCGATTTTTATGTTTTTCATATCAAAAGATGCGCAACGCTTGAGGGTAAAAGGTCATAACAGCTCGGATCGCGAAAAAAAAAATTTCAAAGCTATCGCGGAAAGAGTTAAGGGGCGGATTCCGCCACCGGCCCTTTTAAGGTTAAAGGGCTCCTTTAAAGTTTTGGAATTTATGGATGATCTGTGGTGCAATCTGAGGTACGTTATTCCTGGCCACTTTCGTACGACTTTATTAGCAAAAGTTTCTTGAGATTATAAAGACAATTTATTTCATTATTTTGTTAAGCATATACTGTTGCTCTTATAACGTTTCTACTGTACTGAAAACGTTTGCGTTTGTTTATGGTGTAAATCGAGGACACACACGTGCAACGTTATCGGTGAATCGAGTACAGGAACCAAATCGAGGACGACCTCGATTAGAAAACGTGTACAAAACCAATGAGAGCTATTACGGACAAGTTTCAGAACAAAGGAAACTGGGGAAGAGGAACAAAACACAATACTCAGTTACACCATAAACAAACGTGATATAGTCTGTGTGCCTGTCTGTATATCGATTATTTCCAGAACAGAGCAATGTATGATGAAGTCAAGTTGACAATCGGCAGGTGTATATGCTCAGCACCCAAGAATGTGCAGTGTCAAGTTTGAAGTTTTAGATCAGCGGTTCTCAAAAAAGCTGAAAAAAAGAAGCAATACCGTATAATGACACACAGAGATTCCTGATTATAGTAGGACTATCAGATGTACATTTATTGTGTATGCACAAAATGTAATCTATTCTTAGGAAATCAGGTTGAATCATTGAATCAGATTTTCAATCCCTTAATTTTTTATGTATTATTTTGAAAACTGAAGAATTTCAAAAAGTCAATATTTGACTCATTTAAAATTATTAGGTCGCATTTGTGTATATACTTGAACGTTTATAAAAACAAATTGGATACTTCTGAACAACTATCTGTTTCATGTGATATGTGTATATTTTGTAAACATATTGTAAGATATTGTAAATTTTGTGTACTTTAAAATACGCTCTGTTTTACATGTACTTATATATATTTTCTTATCACAAATTACGGGTGAGAAATGCCATTTTTTAGCATCAAGATTGGATGTGCGTGCAATTCAAAATGATTGCCGTACGTGCATGCTCAAAGTGAAGATAGGACTGAAATTATGTGCCAGTCATATTTTTGATTGAAGGCATCATTTGGAAGAAAACAATAATTGAACTGTCGGATTAAGAGAATGTGCCTATGGCACAGTTTTTATGAGCGTTAATTAGCAACAGAATCTAGTTTGCAAGTCCCAGCTGAAGGGAATGATGTTTTCTATGTTTTCTTGTTTGTTTTTTTCGTTGGTTTTTTACTCCACTGAGCTGAAACTTGAAAAAGCTGGTGTGCTCTTTTGCTGCCTTAAACTGAAAAGGAATGCACGAAAGTTTGTGGCCTTTTGTACCTTTAAGCAGTGGTTAAAGTACAATAAACTTGCATACATTTTTGTACAGTATTTTTGTGAAATATTCTGTATTTCTTTTCCTTTTGTGATAATTGAAGTGCAGTTCTGTCCTTCATTCTATATATTGGGGTGTATTGAAAGACTCGGGAGAGGGTGGCTGTGCAGTACTGGGGCTTAACCTTATCTGAGACCAGTGGCGTAGCCAGGAATTTTTCAGTGGGGGGGGGGGGGGGGGCGCTCGGGGGGGGCTGGAACATTTCATGGGGGGGGGGGGGCGTCATGTAGGGGCGTCAATCGCTTCTCAAAAGTGGGGGGGGGGGACATACCTTGATCAGAACTGATGCGAGCGCGAAGCCCTTACGACGTGGGGGTTCGGGGCCCGCTTAAGGGCCCCGAAAAAATTGGATTCTAGATGTTCTGTGGTGTGATCTGAAGCAATTTCTTACCACTTTCCTCCATGCTTTAACTAATATTTTCTTAGCAAAAGATAATTATTTGAACATCGTTTTCGAGGTTGGAGTCATTGAATCAGCTATCGGTATTCTGAGCTATAGGCGTGGGGTTCGGGGCCCGCTTAAGGGCCCCGAAAAAAAATTGGATTCTCGATGCTCTGTGGTGTGATCTGAGGCAATTTCTTACCACTTTAAACAATAATTATCTTAGCACAAAAGATAATAATTTAAACATAATTTTCGAGGTTTTCTCAGCTAAAGACATAAGAAAATTATTTGAACATTGTTTTCGAGGTTGGAGTCACTGAATCAGCTACCAGAATTCTGAGCTATAGGCGGGGGGTTCGGGGCCCGCTTAAGGGCCCCGAACATTTGTGGATTCTAAATGCTCTGTCACAGTGGTGCTATCTGAGGCAATTTCTGACCACTTTAACCAATATTTTCTAAGCAAAAGATACATTGTAGTACATAATAGGGCCCTGTAAATGAGACACGAGTTCAAAAATCTAGGGGGGGGGGGACATTTGATATTGTGTCCCCCACCCTTCAAAAAGTTGGGGGGGGGGACCAGTCCCCCTGTCCCCCCAGGATTGACGCCCATGGCGTCATGTAGATCAATGATAATTTTTTCAGACTCTCAAAATCTCAGTGGGGAGGGGGGGGGGGGCGACTGGGGGGCGACAAGGTTTCATTGGGGGGGGGGCTGTCGCCCCCACGCCCCCCCCCCCCCGTGGCTACGCCACTGATTTCAAGGAATTTTAATTGGTCTATTATTATTATTTAGTTTTATGAATGGAGGAAAAAGTTTGTGCGTGGCCGATTCGCGTGATATCGCTGACTGAAACTGTGTGACCCACGGACCACCTGTCTATAATACGTGTTCCGTGGTGTGAGCGAGCAGTACAGTGGGTGTTAATACGCATTTTAGATTATCATTATGCGCTATATGTCACGCCGGTTGTCAGCTTACTGGTCCGCGGTCGCCGGTCGAAGGGTCGTTTCTCAGTGGTCATCATGTGGATCATTCGCGACTATTTAGATTTAGATCAATGATAATTTTTTCAGAAACTCAAAATCTCAGTGGGGGGTGGGGGGGGGGGACTTGGGGGGCGACAAGGTTTCATGGGGGGGGGCGACCCGCCCCCCCCCACCCCCCCCCCCCCCCCCCCCCCCCCCCCGGTGGCTACGCCACTGTCTGAGACACTCGGTACATGTTCCCTTGACGTGCCATGCATGCACACTACCGAGTCTTTTAGCCATATTTTTGTTATCCCTTGCAATAAGTCTCATCGCCTTTGGGGAGGGGGATGTCTTCCATCTTGGCTCGTACCATGCTATAATAATTTTTTTTTTATATTTAATCTCATTTCTTATGTCATATTCCTCCATGATGAAACTAGACTCGGGAAAGATACTGGCCATCATTTTTCCCTGCAGTGACTATCAGTATCAGCCATCAGGCTGCGATAGTTTTTCCTGCAGTGACCTATCAGCCATCAGGAAGTTATAGTATGTCCTAAAAAAGAAAGTCAAATTTAACAGGGAAAATCAAATAATGAGAAACACTGAAATTTTCAGACCAGCATCTCATAGCTAGGGTTTGCGCCCGTGCTAGGTGATGAAAATAGTCCACTACTCGCTCGGTACGGTCTTTTTGTCATGCGCCATCTAGCGGTTAAAACATGACAGGCTGGTGATCGAATGCCTGAAGCCCAGACTCATCGCGTGGAGAACAGAGCCCTCTGGAAAGTTAGGGTACCTGACTAAACATGTCGGCGCCCACTAGCGCGCATGCAGCAACACGTCCTCTTGCATGGTCCCGAAGTTGCATCTGCTGCCTGCTGAGTGAGTGCTGGTTTTCTTCATCGGTTGGGGCACAGATCTTCTTTTTTAACATGTCCAAATGTTAAAAAAGCGATTCGTAGAGTCCTAGTTACTTGGACTGTACGGTCATGACGGTACTGACTCGGATCGGGTGTCAGCTCCGTCAGAATCAGATATGGACTATGGAGGAATAAGAACATTATTCGCAGTGGCTATTGTTACGGCAGCCGTAACGCATTTCCCATTTTCTATCGTGACGGTAGACTGCAACTTTTATAAAAACATGAGAAGAAAATATAAAATTAGAAGGAAAAAAGTGAATTTGAACGTTATGATTAAATTCGGACTTTATTTCCCTTTTAAAAAAAATCCTCCAAAGCCTCAGGTTAGAAAAGGAAAAAAATTCGAGACTTCGAGTGCAAAACTGAGATTCGAACCCGAAACCTCGCGGTGCAAAATCCTACCCTCTATCGACTGAGCTGTCGCACTGCTCGCTAAATCGTGTGGAAACAAATAATTATATACCTGCGTGCGTATCAAAAAAGTATCGTAGAGGGCGCTAAACAACGACTGCCGTAACGATAGCCACTTCGAACATTATTCCTCCATGGTCAGATCAACCATGTCAACTGAACCGCTTGCCAACTCATTAGCTTGAGTAACTCCAGCTCCAATGCTCATCAGGAATTCGACATATGAGCTGGAGCTTAACTAGTACTAGATTCTAGGAGGCCCTAAAAATCGGGACTTGTATCTGTATCACAAAAATGGTCCTTTTTCCCTCTGCATGTAGGCCTAGCCTCACTTGTGTGGCCTACATATTGCTGCGCTGTACGTTAGGCCACACGCCTGGTTTTCCAACCTACTGAGGAGTTTAGTCCCAAACTGGCGCATATGGACTCCAGAAAGATGTCTGAATTTCTCCAAAAAATTGAGGAAATATCACCTAATCTACCCATGGAGGAATAAGAACACATTCTTCCATGATCTACCCGAGGGGCGAAAGATGAGAAATCATAGAATACAACCATATCAGTGGTGTGTACAAAAAAATACCACAAAAGGGTGCGCCAGTGTTTGGAATAAACTCCTCAGTGGGTTGGGAAACCAGGCGTGTGGTCTAACGTACAGTGCAGCAATACGGAGGCCACACAAGTAGGGCTACATGTAGGCCTAGTTTCCCAACCCAGATTCCATTAAACATAATTTATATGACGTATGCTAGGATTTAGAAGAAGTTAACTCTTTTGGCCCTGTATGACCAAAGTCAAAATTTTGAAAAAGTAGTACTAGTAGTAGGGCCTACTAAATACTTCTAGTGCCATAGTTACATGTACTAGCTACTAAATTACTTCTAGTGCCATAGTTTATGAACTAGCAAAGCGTTGGTTGGCTGCCCCCGCATATAACTGCATATACATTGGAGCTCACTTAGTGAGTTTCAACCCCATAATTAAGACAAAGCCCAGGGTCATCATAATGATCCATAGCTTTTTATTTGTATTTTGTATTTACATGTAATTAATTGTTACCATGCAGTTTTCTTTACAGAACATTGCTGCTGCATAACTTGAAAATTGACTGGTGCCAGCCAGCTATGTTCCGACACCAGCTGTACCTGGCCGGTTGTATGTTCTCAGGTTCTAATCTGTGTGGCCTTCTGCACAAAGCTCGAAATGTCGCGCCTGGATTCCTCCAAAAAATGGCCCAAAAGAGAACTGGAACAATTCACACATCCTGCTCCAGTTTACAGTTGTGCAAATTGCATAAATGTCAGCACGAGAAGGCCTCATCCGTCTATCAGTGGAAGCTAGAAGGTTCAAGAACAATCCACCGAAAGATGACTGATCTATGGACGCCTAATAGCAGGGGCCTTTCCACATCATGTACGCCTCGTACCCCTGCAAGGTGTTTGTGCTCTGTCATGACAAAACATGGATTTCCATACCATGAAAGGACTCCAGCGTGGAGGATGTTTAGAGTGAAGCATACAAAGAGCGGCCAAGGTGAAGTACCTCTCGTCTTTGTGAATAAGGCTCCGTCGGTGGTGGGCAAGAAAAATCAGAAGAAACAACCCACGGAGCCCAAGTCCCCGGTTGTCAGGTCACGGACCAAAAAGCCAACAAGGCTGGGGCTGCAGGATAAAAAGGTACGGTAGACTCAAGTTGAAAATGTTTTAATTTGATGAACACAACAGTTGCATCGTGCCTGTGGTTTTTTTTTTTTTTCGAGGACGCACATGTGCAACATCATCGAGTTGAGGACAGGAACCAAATTGAGGACTTCTCAGTTAGAAAATGTATTTAAATAACTAATGAGAGCTGTTGCAAAAAAGTTTTGAGTATAAACAAAGGAAAATGGGAGAGGAACAATAGACAATTCTTGATTTACACCATAAACAAACGTGCTGGAACAAGTGTGTGTGTTCAAACACGGATGGGTTTATGGGGTACTTGCATTGTTTTTCCTTTAATTCCCTTCTTTAGAATGTCTTTGTACGTAGGCCTATAAAGCGATGTTTTTCTGTCTCTGTGTTTGTTTGTCAGTTGTTCTGACATGGATCAGTCTGCCATGCAAACAGTGCAGCGCAGGTGTACGTTCATGGTGTAAAAGTGTGTGGAGCCTAATCCCTAGTAGTGCCCCAGGACTAACCTGCTCAATCCAACAGAGTCTCCTGCTCAATCCAAACAGAGTCTGTACACAACCCAACTTACCAAGTTGTCGGGTACCAGAACATATGAAATGACTGGCATGCTCAATCCGAGAGAATCCAACTTTGCCTTATTTCTCTGTTTCCTGCTGGAGCCAAGAGTCCAACTTGGCGTTATTTACCAGTACCCAACAGAATCCACCTCTGAATGTTGTCAGATGCCTGCTGAATCCAACAGATTTCAACAGGAATAGATACAAGGGATTTACTGCTCAATCCAGCAGGACCCATGTACAATTGTTGGATCCTGTTGGATTGAGCAGGGTTAGGTTAATTGCTGCAGTTGGAGTTGCATGTGCAACACCAGTGCATAAACTGCCAATTCTGAGACAATGGGAGCTATCCCCATGGAACAAAGCCACAGCTGTATTGATGCATAACCATTGACTCTGAGGCTAATTGACCTCGGAAATTTGGACCTGTTGGATGCGGTTTTTACAATGGGTAGGCCTCTTGCTTTTACAGATGTTGCATTGGTGGGCAGGGTTTTCTTTAGTCTGAAAACAACCAGTCCCACACAGCTTCAGTACTGCATCAATCAACCATGCCAAAAGAATTTAAGAAACATGAAGCGGGAACTAGACTCAATTTACTACACATTTCTCCATAGTCAAGCCACCAGACTATTGACACTGACTGAAGAAGTCAGTTTTTTCAAATAGTTGGACCATGGTTGGACATGTGCCAGTCTAGTCTTTAGCCCCATTTTGAAATCACTTGACTTCCCTCTCACGTGCAAAATATTGAAGAAAAGTCTCCTTTAAAAATAGAATTGAGTCTGCAAACTTGGTTGGTGAAATACTGAGGACATTTTCTTTGCCCCGGTGTAATTTTTGGAGAAATTTGGTAGCTAAACTGTGAGTACAGTGGGCCTGATTTAGTTTTGCACGTGTCAGAGCACTCCAGAGCCCTGTCTGGGTTTTCTTGGGAAAAGGCAGTTAGAGGGTGGGCTTAAGACCCATTACTATGATTGCTGAAACTTGGTTTACTTCATGCTTTGACTTGTAGGTGTTTTTAACCCTCACCCTGCCAGACGCAATACAGTGCATCCGGTGGAAAAGAACTGGCGCACTTTGATGCACTTAGCTATCAACACCAGTGTATGAACAGCCAGTACTAAAACAATGAGAGCTAGTCCCATAGAACAATGCCCCAGTCATGCCAGTTGAGGCAGTGTGGCCTTGAGACTTTTCCCCTGATGCATCTTGCTACATTGGGCAGGCTTGTCACTTAGTCAAGTGCTGCATGTTGCTACATTTGGAAGATGTTGTGGCAAACGTATCTTGGAGTTAGGGTAATAAGTTGAGCAAACTTCTTTTGCAGGATACCCAGGATTCTTGGCTGTGCACTGCCTTCTCCACGGCTGAGGAGTACCACCTGGAGCACCTCAGTCTGGACCTACAGTCCCAGGGATCGTTTCTGCCCGTTGCGATGCCACAGGGTCAGTCAAGTCCTATAGCTATGATTGTGTTCGACAAATAGTCCATGAATCTGGTTCCCTGCGGGGTTTGGGAGAATTTTACAAGAGTGAAAAGTTGAATCTTGGCCTCTGATCTATTGACCTATCACCATTTGCAAGTTAACCACGCCCCTTAGACAACCCTATGGGGAATTTTATACACTAAGTTTGTTTGTCTCAGATTTTGCATGTTCCGCGTCAATTTCTATGTAATTGAACCATATTTCACAAGCTGCGTTGCTGCGATTGATAGGTCAATTACTATAAGTTACATGGGGTTTGATGCCTGTTGAAAGTTTTAAGTACCAAGTATTGAGCCTCTAGTCTCCTGGACGTTTTTGTATTAAGGATTCTGGAAGGTTCTTAAGACAATGGTGATTAAGCAAGGATGGAATAGTGCTGATTGTTATCCATGTCCCCAGATTTACCTCTCATTCAAGGATGTGCCTACTGTACATGTTTGTATTTGGCCTTATATAATTCATGCTGTGGTTTTGTCAAAGAGAATTGAATATGGTCAGTGTAGGTCAGATTTTAAAAAAAAACCGCAACAACATATGTAGTCCTCATTTGTGAAAGCACTGCAGCTGACAAAATTGGGGAGAGATTTTGTGAAATTGTTAATTTGTCTGCATGGTAATGCAGTATCATTGAAATGAAATGGTACATGCCCTATATGCTCCTCTCTACACAGATGCTCAAGATGTCTTATTGATGGACGTTGCATCGTCGGACGCTGAAAACAAGACTGAGCCGTCGGAAATGTTCTTCTTCCGTGAAGGATCCGTTGTCTTCTGGAATGTTCCGGACTCAACCGTGGGTATTATGTGTCATGTGAAATACTGTCACTACCTAATTACATTTAGCAGAACCGATTTCGCAAGCTTGGTGGTCGAGTGGTAAGACGTTGTGGGTTCGAGTCCCACCCAAGTGATTTTTTCCAACTTTCACTCGGGAGGTAACACACTGAGCATACAGTGTTTATACATCGGTGAAGGGCGAAACCCAATGTTTATTTACATCAACCCAGCGCAAATGGATCTTATGGGTAGTTACATTTAGCAGAGATCACCCGCAATTTACTTGGTAGTCGTATGGTAAGTTTCTATAGGGCCATTTTCATGGCTCTTCTATACGCAAGCAATTAACTTAAACTAAAGAAGTAAACTCTGTCACGAGCCAACATTGCCTATCAGGCCTGCGTTTATCTCTGGGTTCAGCACACAGAAAACCACAAAAAACATGGTTTTGAGTTATAAATGTTTGACCTCTTCTTGACTTAGCTCTTTTGTCATTTGCAGCTAAAGAAGGTTTTGCGGATTGTCAACAAGTACGAGTCGCGACCCTACGAGGTTGCCTTGGTTACATGGGAGAACGAGCACATCAACTATTCCTATGGCAGGTCTGTGCACTGTGATAAGTTCATCGGAGGATCGTTGATTGACTAATGGTTCATTATAATGACATATAAACTTACAATATGCACCTGTATTAGCCACATGGAAGCATCTATAGGCACATGTTGGTCAAAAAGTCATAACCCTAACTCCTAAGCGTCTTTTACTGAGAACTGGACCAAGTCCATCAAAATCCATCAATCACTGTGTGTCCAATACAAAACTGTACTTGACAGAATGATATCCACCACTGACACACTGGTTGACATTCGTGGACTTGCTACACATGGCTTTATTTCACAATAGCAGTACAGGAAGCAAGGCAAAATCAATCGGATACCCCTAGCACTGCTTCAGGCCATTAGGCCCAAGTCCATCATACTCCATCAATATTTAGTCACGCCAGGCCCGCTTGGACCAAGTCCCCCAAAATCCAACAAAATGGGGGATCAGTGGATTTTGATGGAATTGGGGTGGTAAGGGTTAATGAAACTTCTGTGGCTCGCTGTGTATTCCAATGCACTTGGCTGTTGTAACCGACGATCTGATCGCAACCAACCTTGGTACAGACAAATTGGGCGACAGCCCAACCTCGTACCCAGGGTGTCGAACAGTACGTGCCCATCACTACCTGCTCTCTCACCCTGGTATTGGATCATTTGCATGTGCAAGATTTTTGAACACGTATGCAAATAAGGAACAGTCTGGTGCCTGGATATGCGTTACACATTAGCGTTTGTTTTTGTATGCGGTGTCTGGGGTAAAAACAGAGTCAATTCGTAGCAGCGCGAGCACAGCGTGAGTTACGAAAACACGATTTTTGAAATCAGACTGTTACGATCTTATCGAAACAACATGCAGTATCATATTTCATATTAATATGAGCAAATTGGAAAATGAAATTAGTATTTTTGAGAAGGCATGGACGAATGATCGCGAAAACACGTACTGCACGTTGTGAATATATAGCACCAAGTACACGATAAAAATCCATTACTAGCCAATTGCAGCATCGAATCAGGATACAGGAAGAAAGTTTCCTATCCAGGGTTTACTATTGGAAATGCGGTTGGAAATAAAGTAAGCACTGGGGACGAGGTTGGGCGACAGCCATTTTCTGCTGTGGTACTGGACTTGTGCGAGTCACTTGAATGCATTCTGGGCTCCTTCGACCAATAGTATTATCAAATGCACACGCACCACGTCTTTCAGAACAAGTGCAGCGTGCGCATGCGAGCATGGCACCATCTCAAAAACAGCTTCAAATTTTGTTCGCAAGATTAGTCTACATGTAGGCATCATTTCAGTCATGTTCCCTGTATCCAATAACAGTGCTGAATGATAATGCTTTTTGCGCAAAAAGGAACCAGACTAATTTTCCTTCCAGCCTTGCTTTGGTTACGTTGATTTGAATGGGAAAAAAATCAAGATGGCCGCAACATGATAATGGTCTAGGCTTGTCCCAATTAGTCAACTCGCTATAGTGTTGGTTCAAGCAGAGAAAGTCAAAAATAAGTCAACAAGACTTAAACGTACAATTATAAACGTACAACACATGGGAAACGCAAATTCCAACACATGGGAAACTGTGCACACATATTTCTGACTTAGTTTCTAGAGGTGTGCCAACCCAATGTAAAAGACTGTCAGTTTAGGGGTACTGTACCCATCCAGACAGATTCCAACAAAACATGCTGTTGGGGTTTGATGGGTTGAGTTCTGTTAGGGTTAAATATAGGACACAGCTCCCTAGCTGAATGTTTTTGGTTCAGTATTCCCTTTTTTGTTTCCTTCACTTGTTATTCTAATTGTGACAGTCAGGGTACCAAGCTGACAGATGATGCTATTATCCTAGACGAAAACGCTGATACAGAGACCACAATGCTTGAGAAATTTGCATTCTCAAATGCCATGGCATTATCAGGTGAAACTAGGTTTAGTCTGGTTCGAACAATAAATTGAATAATTAAATTTTAACTTTTTTCTTTAAAAAGATCTTTTAAAATGTATATCATCAGCCTGTTTATTTTAAACTTTAAATGCATAATAACTTGATTCTTTCATATCAGTTCTATTTCCACTGAAAATTTGTCAAATTGTAAGTTTTATTTAAATGTGAGAAGAGAACTTTGTTGGGTATAGTTTATAATGAAAGGTTTGCGGAAACACCATGTGCGAATAATTTCTCAACTAAGAGAATGGTTCTGAAAAGAACCAGAGGTATAAACTCGACGTTCCGGTCAGTATGCTCTGACCGTCTTCAGGAGAGTGAAGTCTTCTCTCCTGAAGACGGTCAGAGCATACTGACCGGAACGTCGAGTTTATACCTCTGGTTCTTTTCAGAACCATTCTCTTAGTTGAGAAATTATTCCCACATGGTGTTTCCGCAAACCTTTCATTATTTAGTATCTCCACCATGCACAGCCTCAAATCTTGGGTATAGTTTGCACATCTTTTGATTAAAGGCTTCTATTTTTATTGCCTTGGGAACAAGCTAATCTGTGCCACAAGTTGATTGGTTCCCAGTCCCTACATAATCAATACTGAGAGAGTAGGAGAACCAGTTGCCCTTGCGAAAACTGACCTATCATCAGGCTGCAAATGTTCAATATTTGATTTGGAAAAAACATTTTTTGGTCAGTGTCTATTTCCAGATTATAACTTCTGTATTAATTGCAATTTATTGAAAAAAAATTAGATTCTCCAATTGAAAGTGGAAAAAAACCCATTTTGTTGGGGACAAAATCTGCTTTTCGAGTTGAAACTTGAAAATAGCCTTTACGTCTTTTTTTTTGTTTATCTGTTATCCGATACTAATTGAAACTATTGTATGTTTCATTTGTATCATTGTCAGTGAAACTTGGCATTTGGGAATTGTCCGTTGATAAATTCACGTCATCCCTTGAAAGAATCCCTGAGGTAGGAGTTTTAAAGATTTGAATGTTAATTTTTAGCCCATTAATCGATCCCTGTAATCCCCTGATGGGTCGTGTTATCGTGTGAACCTTTATGAACAGTGTGAACCACAACTTCCTAGATTTAAATTTTGGGGGTCTATAACAGCTTCCAGGGGACCCGTGTTTTTTTTTTTTTTTTTTTTTTTTAAATCGAGTACCCGATTCCTGTACTTATCGTAAATGCACACCCCTAGAATAAAATTTGTTGTGCAAAGTCCATGTAAAATGTACAGGAACCAGTCCACACACAGTGTGGTCCCCCCCCCCCTTCCCCCCACTGAGGTTCCCAATAGGTCTCTCTCAAAGACGCCCATCTCTGTAGGGGAACTGCAAATGCTTATTTTATGCAATCAAGCACGCATCGTGCAGTGTTGAAAATGTTCCAAACACGCGCGCTTGTTGCTCAAAATGTGTTCGAAATATGACGCAGCCGATTTGCGTTACGCAAGTTGACGCTCAAAATGTCGATTCACGTGACTGGTCTGATGGAAATGACGTCATTTGAGAGAGACCTAGTGGTCAAAAACACCATCCACGCTATTGTTCATTCATGGAGTCCATATCCAACTTGGTGCTGTATTGTTTGTTCAGAGTCTCAAGCATGGCCATCGCTTGAAGATGTCGCGCCTGGAGGTGATGCGTAAGACAGGGGAGCTATTCTCCCTGAGACATCAGATTAACCTCAGCTCTGATCTGCTCATCTCGCCGGACTTCTACTGGGACCGAGATGACCTGGACGAACTCTACAACAAGACCTGCCATTTCTACAGCATCGGAAGACGGACAAGGGTTGGCCGTATAAGCCTTTTCGGAGATCCAACTGCGCGCATTCGTAACCTGTGACAATGCACATTGTTTGTCTCAAATGCCCTTTGACAGTACCCACAATGCACAAACAGCCTTTTTGTAAAGTCAGTTGCGCGATGTTGTCAAAGCCATTTGAGACAAACAATGCGCGTTGTCACAGGTTTCGAATGCGCAGTTGGAACTCCGAAAAGGCTTATTCCACATCACTGGGATAAGGGCTTTATTTGAAACACTAGTTGTCCCACGGATAATTGTGTGTGGACTTCAGAGAAAAACATGAAAAATTCTTCTTGGAAAACTGTTGGTGTGCATTGGTCAAGAACGACTGAAGTCCCTGTACGCTGTACTCCAAACTGCCAGAGTAATTTACAGTTTTATGGGTTCTTCGGTGAATGAATACAATGTAATACAATGTAGTACATGTTCCAGCACATTTGTTTATGGTGTAAATCAAGGATTTTCTTTTGTTCCTCTTCCCTTTTTCCTTTTTTTGTACTTTTTTGCAACAGCTCTCATTGGCTTTGTACATGTTTTCCAACCGAGGTGTCCTCGATATGGTTTCTGTCCTCGATTTATCGATGATGTTGCACACGTGTGTTCTCGATTTACACCATAAACATGCACCTATATTTATGGGTTATGCATGTGAGGCAACAGCAAAATATTCAAGCATTCCTCCAGTGTTTTAGGACTTGTTAATCTTTCGAAAACTGCATGGTTTGTTTGTATTTTTCCTTTTGTAAGTAGCATGGGAATCCACATTTATCTTGGTAAACATTTATCTTGGTAAACATTTAGTAAAACTTTGAAGCGAACGTGATAGACAGACTAAAGCTTTCGTTGCAGTTAGGAGAGACACGAACATTGATCTAGGTCGAGTGGCGTATTAAAAACATCAAACACAAATACTTTATCCCTACATCCGTATTTTTGGTAATTTGATCAAATACCAAGATGCCTGAAATGCTTTTGTTCAAATGTCCAAATTGGTAAAAGTCACACCCTTAACCATTAGCACTTGTACTACATTGTATTACATTGTATAACATTGTATTACATTGTGTTACATTGTGTTTATGCACTGAAGAATCAATAAAACCATAGAGTGCTCAGGCGGTTTCAGGCTGTTCAGTAACTAAATAAGTGTTACATCATACCTGTATTTCTATTGCTTTTGGTCACATAGGTCACCAATGAGAAGCTGAACCATTGCTCAGAACTCGTGGAACTCATGAGAACTCACCTGAGTGAGCGCCACTCGCTGAAGCTGGAATGGATGATCATTTTACTCATAGCAGTTGAGGTAAGATAAGCACTCTTTTACAAAGGAAAAATTGAGCTTTTAAATTAGTAGTTCGTTTTGTTATTCGGTGAAGCGCTCGCAAGCATTGGCACGATGCACACGCGTGCGCGGTTGCTATAATTCGTTGGATCAGTGCGCGACATCGCGTATAGCTGCAATCGGCTCAGTGAGAACGCGTCTCGGATGCTGAATTCAGGCTCAATTCAAAACATGATTCAGCAACTTTTGATTTGAAATTGAGATCCTAGAATGCTGTTTTTCTCGGAATATACAGCTGAAGCTGAGCTGAAACTTCATCAGATTAGTTGTTCAGTATCCTTCATTAGATTTTGAACACTTATGTTGCTTCAAACGAACAAAATGCACAAATTACAAATGATGGACTATATCTATAATCAGAGAAGTTTCTGAAGGAAGAACATGTACATTGATGGCCCTATTCTGTTGGAAAAGACATGACTGACTGAACTTTGGTTGCAGATGCATCACTGAGATAACAGCATCATTGATTGCTCTTTATTCTGTATCTGTATCTCTGGAATACTGCAAGCAAAACTCCACTACGGGATAAACGGTTGCATGCAAGTGACGGCTAGCAGAAAATTTATATAATTATTTGTTGGCCCCTTTGGTGTTGAAGATAACTGCATCCCTTGATGTTTTGATTTAACCCTAACCATCCCAAATCCTCCAAAATCTTTTTGGCAAATTGGAGGAATTTGCAAGATTGAGGTTACATGGCAAAAGTGCGTTGCTGATTTCGGAGTACGCACTGTGTCAAGGTCTTGGGCCGGACCTTGTGTTGTTTATGCTCAGCCTAGCATAAATTTAGTCCTTGATTATACTTGACATCCTCCGCACTGCTCTAGGATGTCACTACCTCTGCCTCAGCCTATTGACAGTCATAGTGGTCACCTCTCCATGGACCATATTCAAGAAATAATGGAGGAATTTGCAGGATTGAGGCTATATGCTATTTTCCCATGAACCCAATTGGAGGATTTTGCAGGATAGAGGCTACATCCTAGCAAAAAGGTCTAGGGAGTAAGGGTTAAAGGACTCCACTGAAGTAGCCTCCTTGACATCTGTAGGAAGTAAGCTCCACTGAGATGTTGTTCTTGGTAGGAAAGAGTATCTGTAGCAGTCCTTTTTAGGTGTCGGGTGAACAAAGGATATTGAAGATGATTTTAAAAAAGGGCTGTTCCAGTATTTAACATGGTTAGCCTCCCCGAACCCCCATTAGAGACTCCCATTTGTTGACAAAGCCTTCCTTACATGTACATTGTATATATGCTTGATTTCTCAGGTCATGTTTGAGGTGGTTCACTACATCAGGAGATACTATGAGGACAGTGGTCAAGGCATAGCAGAACAAACAACATCCATGCGACGTAGGTGACGGTGGTCGAGTGAAAACATGGAGTGCAATGCTTCCTTTTGAACATTTCAATAATGTCCAATCGTATGACATATAAAGTACCACGTGACCATCCAGTTTCCCTGTCATTGGCCACCAGTAGGCAAGCATTTGGTTAGCAATCACGTCAAGCCTGTAAACTAGACGAAAGGGCTAATTCTCTTGTAAAATCACCGCGAAATTCTTCATCCAGTAGCATAATGGTCACAACATGTACCTGTGCCGTGATTGGTCGTCATAATTGTGTTGCTCCGTGCTTTTACAGTTTTTGCCATCCATTACAGCTTATTTGTTGCTCGCGGCGCTATACGATCTGCGCCTACTACAATGGCGACGCTAATGTAGGCCGGGTCACACAAGTCAGTAAGACAGCCATATTGGTAAATTATTTGCTGTTGCCAGAAAATATCATGATGGAAAAACAATGCATCTGTTAATGGACTGTTCTAAATTTGGAATGCAAGGAATGGTTCACATTTGGGCACGTAATTACAGTCCAATCTCGGTAGTACAAACTCTGTTAATACAAAATTCTGGTTATGACAAACATAAAGCCTTAGTCCCGACTGTGCATTTATGTGCACAATGAATGGGACTGATGTTCCTCTCAGTACAAAATTCTGATATAACAAACAATTTGGCTAGGTCCGAACGAGTTTGTATTAACGAGACTTGACTGTATTAATCAAACATCGTTTGAAGCCTTTTTTTCCCCTTGCAAAACAATGTGACAAATAATGGACGAGGTTGCATTAGAATACAACTGGAAATTTATTAACCACAAATACACTTTTCCTTTAAATCCACTGTACTGTACAAAATTGCTTAATTTACAATTGTCTAATAAAGTGCGTTCCTTTTGTTTCTGGATGTAATGAAGGTTGAAGAAGCAAGGCATATATATGTTGTTATAAGTAAGTAACCAAAGGATATATCTGCCCGTTATTCAAAAAAGAAAATTAATTTTAACCGAAATTCTTTTCATAAAAAGGATGTAACATTTTGTTATGACGTCCTAAGTTTTTATAAAAACTGAATAAATGTTGATACAGAATTTTTTTATTTTGAAGAAAAAAATAATTATATTGCTGATGAATTACAAGAAATATTAAATAAGTTTCAGATGCCAAACTTTGTCAACTTTGATGTCATTCTTAGTTGTTACTGCATTGCAATCAACAGCAAATATCCTATTATTTTGACGATGCAGAACTGTTTTGCCACAGAAAATGTTTTACTTACCATTCAAAATACATGTACACAGAAGTGCAATTCTGAACACCTACAATTATATCAAGTAAGTCTTATATCTGATCTCATTTTAATACTTGAACCATTATTGTAGTCCATATATGCAAATTATTATGAATCTATACAAAATAAAACAATCATGCTTACAAAATGGAAAGCCTTAATAGCTGGACGGATTAATAAGGTCATTTTCCCATAGGACACTTTATATTTAACGATATTCAGCCATCTTGAATAAAATACTAAGCATTCTGCAACTGGCGAGTATTGAACTGTCATAAAGTACATGTACCAAAACTCTATAACCAGTCTCACACAGTTTTGTGTATTTGCATGCACCTCAAATGCATCACCCGTACATGTACAAATGTGGTAAATTGCAACTCGAATGTCAACAATGATTTCACCAATATACTTTATTCAAGTTGGCCGTCAATCCAAAACCACCTTTCAGTCTTGAATTAAAATACTAATCCCAAAACCCAGGTCACTCATAGAAGCTTGATTGACAGCAGCAACATGTTAACAAGTGCTAAACATCTCTACAAATGCTCTACTGCAGCCCAAGTAACTCCGCTTGTTATATAAGCCCCCCCCCCCCAATATAGCTGACAAGTTTCTTACAATAACGAAGTGCTCATGTCTCAGAAATTCATGATCTTGATGCTGTGCCACAGTACAAGTACCGTACCATTGACCTATCACACTTGTACCCGAAAAGCTTTTTATTGTCAAGTTGTGCTAACTTCTCAAAATGTCACGATACTTAATTAACACTGCCAAACCCCAAGTAACTACGTTTAATATGAACCCTATGTACACCTGAAAAGATTCTTATCGAGTAGTGCAGAATTTTCAGAATTTCATAATATTGATGCTCTGCCGCAGCCCCATACACTTGACATTGTCGACATAGATGGACTTGGACTTGATGTCAATGTCTTCCTCTAACGTCTGCTGCTGCCGGATCAGTCCCTTCAGCTGGTCCTGAGCCTCGTCCAGCGTGGCCTGCAGCTTGGATGCACTGGCATTGATCTCGGCCGTCTCGTTGATCAGGCGGTACTGGACAGGGTCTCGGCACAGCTCCACGTTGGGTCGGTTGGTCCGGGCGTCCAGGCGTGTCTGCGATAGCTTCATGGGGCCCACCTTGTCTTCGATGGCCTTGGTTAGGTTCTGGATGTTCTTCTCCATCTCTTCGATTTGTCCCAAGACCTTAAGTGGAATAAAGGAAATAAATGAATATTGAAGAACTGTAACGTGTACAAAACTGAATTTTTAATTGACATCAGTAAAGGTTTTACTACATATAATTGATGTTCATAGTGATGCAGGTCAAGGTATCTGTGATGGCTCAGAAGTCCATCAGAAGTCATCTGGTCCAAAGTCAAGTCACACGCTTTACGAATGTAATGAGACGAAGGCATTCCTTCGTTCTTGTTCATTCCCTGTTGCTTGTGATTGGGGCCAATTTCACGGCGCTGCTAAGCACAAAAATTTGCTTAGCACAAAAAAGTCTGGCTTTTTAAAGCAGGTTACCAGCCAAAACTCCTTGTAATGTATATTGCATGCGATTAGTATTCAGCCGTTGTTTGCTTTAGCATGAAAATCACGTGGAGTTTTGGCTGGTAAACTGCTTTTATAAGCCAGCCTTTTTGTGCTGAGCAAATTCTTTTGCTTAGCAGCGCCGTGTTGTGATATATTTGTGACCAGACTTGTGATGATGTACTTGTTATCCTTAGTACCTCGACTAAAACACTGCTACACACTGCATTCAGCTCGATGAGCCAAAATATCAGACACTGGTTAGTTCAGTGATCAAGTTGTATTTATATGAGGGTCGTTGTTGCACCAAAAGCTGACTTGGTATGCTTACAATTATGGGAGGCAAATAAGGCAGCTGACAATATGGAGACAAGGTACTCTGTTTCATTGGCAGAAGTTGGAGAGGTTCTGAGTTTACAAATCACAAAATTTGTCATACAGACAACTTTTCTCTATAAAAAAAGACAATTACCCGAATTTTTCGCAATACTGATTGCTCACCTTGGCCAGATGTGTCTCCAGTTCACTCTTTGTAGCCTGTGTTTCTCCGATGCGTTTCCTGAAGGCCAGGTTAGTGTCGCTGACTTGCTTCTTCATGTCGTCTTCCGTTGTTTCAAGCAGGCTGTCGATGACGGCCCGCAGGTCCACGGCATTCTTGCGGTCGCGTTCCGTCTTCAAAATGTTCTCGTTTGTGAATTTCTGCCAGTCTTCCGGGGTTACGGAGCTGTGATGAACAGAATTTTTAAAACATTTCCAACAAGTTAATAATGATACCGATCCATGATGTGGTTTTCTTGCCAATGACAGCCATGGCTGAGTGAACGAATGTCTGACAGAATTCCAAAGCGTGCACATACGTATCATGTTGGAGCTTGCAGTATGGCATTGGATGGCACATGCATGTTAATGCCCTTGAGCCCTTTTTACACTAGACAAATCTCGGGGTTAACAGGGTTGAAAACATGCATCGTTTCACACTTGAAGAATTTCAACCCTGCGTCAACCCCAAGATTGATTTCACCCCGGGTTGAACTCAACCCTGCTCTAGACCAGAGTTGAGAGTGTCAGCCCGGGTTGAAATTCTTGCCAGGGTTCAAAATAGTAGTAACTGAGCATGATAAGCTTGATTTGCATGAAACAAGTGTGAAAAATCAAACACTCAACCCGGGGCGACACTGGGTTCACCCAGGGTTGAATTCAACCCGGGTTGAAAGGCTCTAGTGTGAAAAGGGCTTTATATGCAATTGGCAGGGCTTAGTGGATCTCAGTCTGTTAAGCAAGCAGCATGAGGGAGTTCTGAGCTTTAATTTATCTCGCCGACTTAAAAAGTAAACTGCGACAACTAAGCACAAATATTCCACATTTATTTGATAATTAGTAATGGGTTTCCCTTAGTATTTGTTGCCTCGGGTTGGAGAGTACATAAGTCATGATGCAATGGACTTTTATCACTATAAATGCACACTTTACACAGAATATTAGTCATTAGAACAGTGAGGACAACAGCCGCTTACTTGGTTTCGATTTTGGCAACGCCGGATTTGAAGTTGAGGTGTGGGTTGTCGTCCCTGAGCTCCCTGCAGTCCTGGTCGATGTCCAGAGCGGCAAACTTGTCCGTCAGGTCTTTCTCCAGGGTGTAGCGACGTGACCGCATGACTCGGATCTGCTCCGTGGTCTGGTCCAAGGTACGCTGCAGCAAGGCCATGACACCCTGGATGGTCTCTCGTTCCTTGAGGAGGTTCTTCTCGACGTCATCGTGGACGAGGTCGATGGCTACACGACCCTCCCTGAGCAATACAAAAACAAAACAAAAACAAAAAAAGTGGACTGAAAAAGCTGCACAAATATGCCAGACTAGCAACATTGCATTTGCTATGCTGCAACTGTAGCAAGGTCCAAATTATAATTCGGATAGTCAAGCTATAGTTGCCAGGATCCTGACTTATTGTTGGGATCTAAAGTTGAGACTGTCCATTGTTGTGGTCACTGCTGTAAGTTGGGGCATTATATAATCTCTCAGTGGTATGTTACAATCCCCAAATTTCACGTGGCATTTAGCAACACTCTGGAAAAAAGATCTGTACTGATGATGTCACACTTTGTTTACACATGTGCTTTCGTATGGGAGCCTGGTGGGGACGATGGTTTCGTAGCCCCATAGAAAAGCGCACAAGTAAAGCAAGTGTGACGTCATCAGTACGGAGGCGTATTGCATTTTGCGTGAAACTTCATAAGTCCTATACGGCACACAATATCGAAACAAAAAGTTGTTTACCCTCAAAGAATTACATGTAGAATTGTAGATGACTGCTAATGAAATACACATATTTGACACATACAAGTACACCACTGGGTAAGCAAAAATGCCCGGTTTATATAACGGCTTAATTCCTCAATGATAGAATTATGTTTACTCAATTGTCATGAAATCCTAGTAAAATTCAAAATTTTGATAGGTTAATCCTGAAAATGTCATATTATGAGTGTAAAAATTTTAAAAATATAGAGTTCTCCTGTGACGTAATACTATTTCAAGATCAAAATTGTCTTTGAACAAGTTGACTATGTAAATTCTGAAAAGATATATTTCAGCTCCTCAGTGGCCAGAGAGGTTTAGGTCTATTGTCTGCATGTTCCCACATGTAGTTGTAAATATCAAAGACCTAGAAAATAGCTCTGGAGTCTAAACGAGATTTGGAAATAACCCATTGTCTATAAATTTCTAGCAATTTACCTGAATAGCAGACACTGGTTGACAATTGCCAGCGGTTCCCGGCACGCTTCCAGGGCGTTCTGTAGTCTGGTTTTATAGGCAAGTAGTGTGTCTATCTCAGTCTTGGTGTCATCAAGTTTTCTGTTCAATTCGTCCTTCCAGAATGTCACATCATGTACTCTTTGCTCTAGAAATAACAAACCAAGAAAATATATATTGTAATGTTCTCCAACGTAGTCATGCACAAAACGTTTTGATCAAATGTTTAACATTTGTTAGGACAAGACAAGTCAATAACAAATTTTAGACTTTGGTTTTTCTTTTATCAAGGACTTGTAAAGCTGAAGGCCTGTTTTTGTCACCAAACAATGTGGTACTTGTGGTTTTAGGCCTGCATTTTGAATACAATGTTTCCCATAAGATCTTAAACCAGGAATGTATATAGTCAAGTCCAGTCACAAGTAAATCACAAGTCCAGTCACAAGTCCAGTCACAAGTCAATCACAAGTCCAGTCACAAGTAAATCACAAGTCCAGTCACAAGTTCAGTCACAAGTAAATCACAAGTTCAGTCACAAGTCAATCACAAGTCCAGTCACAAGTCAATCACAAGTCCAGTCACAAGTAAATCACAAGTCCAGTCACAAGTCAATCACAAGTCCAGTCACAAGTCAATCACAAGTCCAGTCACAAGTAATAGTGGATGAACAATAACAAAGGAATGCCTTTGTCAAAGCTCATTGGAATAGCTTGTGAATTGAATTAGGACTGGACGTCTTAATTGTGATGGACTTGCAGGGACTTGTGAGGGACTCAACTACATCCCTGCCTTAAACACAATGCATACATTTCTATTTCTTTAGATGTTGCAGCTACCATTTCTCCCATGCAGCAAAACCAAGAGCTTAACAACATGTGCACGATAAACATAGCACACTTACTGATGAAATGCCAATTAACAGCAACAAACATTCAAACACTGAATGTTAGGTCCGCATCAAGAAATGATAAAGCAACAATAAGTGAATATGTTACGAACCAGCTATAGTTGGGAGTACCCCCAACTATAAATGGGACTACCCCCAACTACAGTTGGAGCCGGAGTTGGAATCCAGGTCTACACTCACCAAACTTCTTGTTGACATCTCTTTGTGTTCTCTTGGTCACTTCGTCCGTCTCGTCGATGAGTCGCTCGCTCTCATCGATGAGCCGCTCTGCACTCGCTCGCTGCTTCTCAGCATTGTTGTAGTTGGTCTTGTTGGAGTAGGCCCATTCTTGGTGGGTGAACTTGGGAGGGGCACTGATCAGTTTGGCCATTTTTACAGAAATACTTTTGGTTTAATCTCAACCTAAAAAACCAGGACGAAAGAAAGAGATGATATGCATTACTTAATAAATTGCATTGTTTAAATACAGAAGTCATGCCTGTTGGAAGAGACAGTTCCGTAACAAAAGCAGTTAAAAATCGTGTTACGCCTGTAATAACGATAGCCAGTGTAATAGCCCAGGGGGACTCCCTCCTCCCTACGTTACGGAGGGAGTCCTGGAATGAAGTGCTCAAAACAGGGCGAAAAAAATTAATAATCAATATTTTTAATATTTTTACCTTATCGGAGAAGCCAATTTTCACGTCTTAGTATTCTGTCCTTATCTATGCATCCGGGGGTTCAGGAATTCCATATGCGATGCTGACCGACGTTAATCAGGAAAATAAACTCTAAAGCAAAGTTAAACTTGTACGTTTTTGTAGACTCTTTTCATCAGTTTCGTATTTCGTATGAATGTCGTATGTACGTCCGTGCAGCGTGAACGCGCAGTGCGCACGCACGATTTGCTTAGTAACCGCCCTCAAACGCATGCGCTCTTGTAGACGCGGTCGCCTATCCAATGACTGGGCGTGTTTTTGTGACTGCGACCAGAAACATGTTTCAGCATTGGTCATTGGTTGAGCATTTTTGCGACTTCAGTTGGCTGGAGTGACGTCACTGTTCCGACATTGAGAGACTGATGAAAAGAGTCTGCAAAAACGTACAAGTTTAACGTTGCTTTAAAAGAGTTTATTTACCTGATAAATGTCGGTCAGCATAGCATATGGAATTCCTGAACCCACTGGATGCATAGATAAGGACACATAGGCTAGCGTATGTGGGCGTGAAATAAGCTTCCATAACGAGGTAAAACGTAAAAAATATCTGTTCAAGTTTTGGGTGGTATTGCGTAGAGAATTCTCATCCTGGACAAATGACGTAATATTACTAGACATAATGCAATGAACTTATGAAGACGTCGTCCAGCCTGGGCTAGTTAAACAAAAGTTAAACGTTAAAAGTGAAACACGTACACATTCACAACCATTACAAATTCAATAACGCGTCATCACAACACGACTTTGGAAATATAAAGCGTTACATATGATTTCACAAACAATCATCAATGGAAACTAAATAGTAGGATGAACACTACCGCGTCCATTATTGTTCTAATAATGTCTTGAGTTCAACTTCAACCTCCACAAACTCCCGCGCTGCATTTGTTGAGAAGACTGGTGTTCACAAATCATATAATTATAAATATGCCATCAGGCTCCATAATTTTACCTCAACAATCTCTAAATCTTGGTAATGAGATCCAATCGTTCTGTTTTTTAATGTGAATGCTTTTTATAAATTTGTTGAATTAGCTTACCTGAGCAAAAGTCTTCAGTTCTTGAGCCTTAGTTTGTGAATCCGGAAATGCAAGTACTGTTGCCATATGCCGATATCCACATGTGCGTACATAGCAACGAAGTGGATCGATTAATTTATCGAAGGTATGTATTTCTTTAGAGTAAGACTTCAGATTTTGAACTTGTCGATTTTTTAACAAGTTAATGTTTTGTTAGCTTTTAAATATTATATTGAAATGTTGTAAAATATATTTCAATAACTGTATGAAAAATACCTTTGTCCTATTACGTTTAATTAAATTACTGGGCCCTTGCTAAAAATAATGGTACGATCCATTGTTCCCGTTGCCACAATAATTGAAATCTCGTTCCCGAACGCGATTGTGCGATAAAGCGCGCGACACAACACAAGGTGTAATGCATATTCATAAGGTGGGATGGTCTCATATCGGATGGTACTTATGGTGACGTTTATATGTGTGCTGATGATGACCTTTCCTCCCGGAGCACGGATGTTGTGCTGTGTTGCTGCTGCATATCTCAGTTCCGTTTTCGTTAGAAATCTAACATTTTCCGTCACAGACGAAGCGCAAAATTTACTCCTCAGCGATCAGAAGCAAACATTCTTTCATTTAACAACAACAATTTGATTTGTCAACTTTGAAAAATGAGTAGCCGAGGAACGATTCGAGACTGTGCTGGGATCTCCGCAAGTCCCACGTCGCCAGCGTGCACTGCAACAAATTCACCGGGCCTATCGAGTCGATTGAACCCAGCTTTCGGCGAGGCACGGCCGCTAGCTTTGGCTGCTGCAGCACCGATCCGAACAGGGGGAAAGTCCACTCACCCTGGAAAGGCTATATTGGCAGGTAATACACTAAACTGTCGACAGTATATTAATAAACTATTTTCTTTTATTAGTTATTAAATTTGAGTATATAATTTATAAAGGAAGACCCCAAAATTGTGGTTTGTTTGAAGATTATAATATTGTTTGGACATGATACATGTTATAATGTAACATTAAACAATATTTTTATACCTTTGTTATTTGAATATTTATCAGCATACGTGTACATTCAGGTAGATTCAGGTGTACATTAACATGTTTCCGACAAGTGGATAAGCCAAAACCAGACCATGCATAATTAATCCAGATCCTTTAATGCTGAAATTAAAAAATCAAAAATGTTGGAAAGAATGTTGCAACCTGATGCCACTTCAGCGGTTGTGTACGAAGTCTATGGGGAGTCAAGAAAATGTTATAAGTATAATTTCCTAACAAAATTTGAAATATTTCATTGTCCCAGATTGATGCCGCATCATCATTTTATACTCGTACAATGAAACAAGGTTGACTCATATAATGTTCCCTAGGTTGCTTCTTTTTCTTCGAGAATCAAGGCAAGCCAATTCTAAATGTCGGTTTTCAACTGTAAATTTTGAATCCTAGTACTAATATGATGAGGCCTTTTTCCTTGCAGCCACAACAGAAACACTTGCATAACATGTATCCCAGATATTCCTGAAAAATTATGCATTTTTTTCTAGTTTACATAAATTAGTATTTCGTTGTGTCCTTGCAACAAGGTCATATCTCCTAAAATGGCGTGTGACATTATGTATGTGAAACGCAAATTTTCCGTCAAAAGGTCGTACCTTGCTTAAAATAACCCGGATGTACACACAAAGTCAATGGACGTCGCGATACGCGAGATACGACCTTGATGCACGGAGCGTATTTGCGCGAGATACGACTTTGTTGCAGAATCGAGTTATTATGACCTTGTTGCACTGACGCAACGAATTAGTTTTAAGTAAATCTGTTTCTAGGTACACATGTACACACCTGAAACCAATGGAATTCAACACTAAGCATATTAACGATCCTGTCATCAAAACAAAATGCAACAAATTTCAACAACAAAAGTATAAAACTACCATCTGTTAATACTTGTATGTGTTACGCCCCATCTATGACAATGGTCCCAACATCAATTGGGACAGTCCCAACTAATTCCCACTGACATTAGTTGGGAACAGGGCTATGACTATGACAGTCCCTACATTACTTGGGACAGTTCCAACATCAGTTGGGACAGTCCCAACATTATTGGGACTGTCCCTACATTAGTTGGGACCAGGGCTATGACCATGGGCATCGCCAGGATTTTTTCTAGAGGGGGCAAAACAATTTTTTGCCAAAAAATGCTTGTATTTCTCAACACATTCTCGATTTATCAGTTTTAGAGGGGGGCAGGGACATTTTGCCCCCCCCCCCCATTAAATTTACACCACTTTGTCTTCGCGCCTCTTTTTCTTTTCTTTTTTTTCTCTTTTTTTCTTCCTGTTTTTTTTTTTTTTTTTTTTTGCCTTTCCAGGGGGGGGGCAAGTGTCCCCCCTTACCCCCCCCCTCGCGACGCCCATGGCTATGACTATGAAAGTCCCAACATTATTTGGGACAGTCCCAACATTAGTTGGGACCAGGGCGTAACGCATGTTTTTATTAATTTAATGATATTAAAAGGATGGTCTCCATATCTGAAGACAAATAGTGCGAATAAAATGTTGTTTTTACAATAGCAAAGTTTTGAAAAATTGGGAACCCTAGTGTAAGATCTTCCTTACCGATGAGTGTATACGACGAGTTCTCACAGATTCTGACGCGTTCCGCAATACCATTGAAGAAAGACTCCAAGCTGTATATCCAGTAATTTATTGATCCAAACAGTAAAACAGCTAAAAATGGTTAAAATGGTAACAATGGTAGAAAACTGTTTCCTTGTGTACACTCAAACTACAACTAAAAACAATATTCGAACACTATGTGCACGTGTCAAAAAAGGAACAAGTTAGCAACGCACTGCACTGCAGCTGCATGCGCGAGAGGCCACTGCGTCAAGCGCAAATCTTACACCTAGTTATAAGCAGACTAAAAGTTGATTTTATATGAAGATTAAATACATGCCCGATGTCAAATGCAAACATGTCACAATAGCCAAGTAAAGGCTTTCAGCCGGGCTGAAACACAGTGATTTGTTCAGTAAGAACTAAGAAGGCATTAGAGCTGCCTCTATTTCAAGCTGTGAAATTGTGGTGAATATATTTTCACCAACTCTTTCATAACTGGGTTAGTTCTAATCCTTGAAATCTACCTGATTGCACGCCATCCCAGCCATTTAACAAATCAAGTTATTTTGGAGCCCATGTTCTATACTTAGTTAGGACAGTCAAACATTGTTATCAGCAATTTTGTCTATTTAGACTTTCCAGGGCCTGTATTTAGGTACAACCTTTGTGTGCGCATTTTTGAAAGATAGTAGGGTGGTTTTTTTTATCCTGGAATATCAGCCGATATATTTAGTACTGATAATATACAAAACTAAATTACTCATTAGTTGATCCCCAAAGAAATCTACTTGATCTTTAAGGGGTTTTTTTTGGGGGGGGGGAGATTTTCTAAAAACTACACGTGAACTCCTAGTTTAAACACCAGTCCAAAAGCAGATTTGAAATAGATTTTTTTTTGTTTTGTTTTTGTTTTTACAGCTGACTGTATTTCTATTCCCTTGGTATACTGGGACTCTGAAACATACAGTGTACATTTTACCAGTATTCAATATTACCCATGTTCAACATGCAGTAATATGGCCTCAATCCATCCATGGTTCTTGGGTAAAAAGGCTTCTGTGATCGAATGTTGCGCAGTAAAAGAAATATTATGCATGCCACTCCAGAATGATAGATGTGTGGGCACCGACCAGATATTGATCCCCAGACTAATTCCAGTTACAGGATTTATCTTCCTGGCCCAGCTATTAAATTATGAGTGAACTCAGTGGAGGAAGGATACTAGACAGTGATGGTCACCAACAACCTGTACTGCTTGAGATAGCTCGGTTGAAATATTATCTTATCTGCTGTGAAACAATGGCCAGAAATGGATAAGGCCAAATACAAAAAAAAATTCTCATCCATCCCCCATCTTTTTTTCCTGCCACATCAATTTTTAATAATGTTTATTTATTGTTTTTTGTACTTTTTGAATTTTTTTCTCAAAAAGTCCTCAGAAGCTTTTTTTTTTTGGCCTCATTTTCATGGTTTTAATCATTTTGGGTTTCCTATGTGTATGTGTTTTCCTGTGCCTCTTAAACACACAAATGAGACAGTAAAACCTGTCTGCCAAAAATCACGAAAGAATTGAAATTTAAGTAAACCTTCAATTTGTGTATTAATCATTTACTTTTGTTGTACGTAGCTTTGAAATAAAACTGCTTACAACAAAAATAGCGAACTCAAGTCCATGTGTAATACAAATGCACAGCTGTGAACACTTATTGATTTGTTTACAATATTCAACAAGCTGGAAGTACTGTATTTTTGTACAAGGAATGGGTGCCTTAGATATTGTACAAATTATACATGAATGCCCATACAATCAGAATATATGCGTTTAGATGAATGCTGTTTCAGTTTGTTTTGGGTTTTTTTTTGTTCAGTACTAACACTTGTTTTAAAAAAAAAAAATCACATTTTTTATATAATTGCAGTTTACAAAATTCTCATATAAATATATTGATCAGGAATCCTGGCTGTTATTAATGTTTAAAAATGAATCAAAGTATATTAGATAAACCATGCAGTATTTTTCTAAAAATGTTTTAAATTTCGAATCAGAGAGTGGCTTATTCTCAAGCAGCGTGTATCACAGTTGGGAAGCCTTTAAATCGACCGTAAAATTGCCTTTTTTTCCCCCATGCCATGGCGTTGAATCCAATCTGACACTTACTGCCCGTGGGAGCTAGACACTTCCCGTAATTGAGTCCCTACCGTTCATGTACTTCACACTCGTACTACGCCTTGACGCACTGATCATCCGAGGCAATGTTGGCATACATTAAACCCACCACTTGACGTCTGCTCGGAGTGCAAATATTTTTTTTTTTGCCTTAAATTTGAAATTTATATTACCACAGTTTGACAAGGTGTTTGTACATACTAGCTTTTGACTAATATCAGCTAGCTTCACTGAATATATGCAATTGAAAAAAATAATGAATAATTTTGGACAATTCTGATGTGGCACATGCACAACTTTGGTCTGTGTGTGTGAATGTTAACCCTAACCCACCTCACTCCTCCAAAATCCTCCTGGCGGTTTTGGAGGATTCTAGAGGATTGAGGATGAATGGTGATTGAATCAAATGAGGATTGTGGAGGATTGAGGATGAATGGTGATTGAAGCACATGAGGATTTTGGAGGATTGAGGATGAATGCATTTTGAGGCAGGACTGTCTGATGATTTTGAAGGATATGGCGTTGGTTATCCTTCATTTAAACACGAGTGCAAAGTTTTGGGATGAGGAGGATTTTGGAGGATTGAGGATGAATGCATTTTGAGGCAGGACTGTCTGACAATTTTGAAAAATTTAGGCGGAGTTGAAAAATTTTGGAGGATTTTGGAGGATTGAGGATGGTTGTAAGCAACAAGGGCCTAGGGGGTTAGGGTTAAGCCACCGTTCACATGATTGTGTTTACATGTAGACCCTCAAAAATACTGATTGAAAGATTGTTCTCTGTTGACAACAAAATGCTGGGGTACCATGCATTTGTTTGATGTTAAAAATCCTGGTACCTAAACCGGAAGTTGAAATATTTTTGAGACATTAATTTCTGTTTGTGTTATCAACATTCAGATTGTGTATTTTGTGAGTTGTTTTGTTGACTTAAAAGTAAATACTATTTTTTTTGTGCTTTTCTTATTTCATTGCCTTCCAATATCGTTGGTTCACATACATGCAGTACTTGTACAAGTTTGTAAATACTATCACAGTTATTTGCAATCTATTTACAGAAATCAACTCTATTTGCATGTACTGGTATGTACAGTACATTGTGTATACATTGTAGGTTTGTACATTGTACATGTACATGTACATGTACATGTTCAGTGTACATGTACATAATGTGCCACATGGACATAGTCATGATAGTACATGTACATGTACATGTACAATGTACAATGTACATCCAGTAGCAATATTTCACTGCAAAAAAGCTGAAGCTTTCATGCACACACCCCTCCTGAATATTCATGATGGGTGTTGGCAGTATTCAGGGATGCTGATTGGTCAGGGGGGCATACATGCAGCCCAGTCAATTGTAGGACTTGACAACAAAGGGTTAATGCATGCAGTTGGGTCAACAGACGGTATCTGATCTGCAGCAGTCTCCCTCAACACAGAGAAACTCTCATCATGACTTGCAATAAATATAGGCAGTCTGTTAATGTTATTATCATTTTGATGATTGAATTTCAGTAATTTTTACTGCAACAAAATGCTGCATCAATCAGTGTAATAACACACACACCAAACATTTCATCAATTGTAAATTACTGCTCGGAAATTCCTGTAACGGTTGCATGTTGTTCATAAACACTAAACGTGTCGGAAACAAAATATACCATTGAAAAGAAACAAGGTGTTGTAATAATACATGTTTGAGGATAGATCTAGAGGCAAGCACATAGAATATTCATAGTTGATAACAGGCTCTGTGTTTGCATTTAGAGTAGAAGAAAATATAGTTGAAATATTTTAAACTAAAAATAGGCAGACAGGTCAAGAACCATAGGGGACAGTTGAAAATTTATATGTAGTAGATTTAATCGATGATGTTCAAGTTAACCTTCCATTGAAGACTTTTTTTTTGCTACCAAACGTTTTTATGCTGCTACGGAATGCATTGAAAAAAAAGTATTATCAGCTTGAAGAGTTGGGCACATACATTTATACATATAATTCATACTTCTCCTTTAAGGGAATAATAAAAATTGAATTCCGTATGTTAATATCTTTACAAGGTATTGCATATTATATTGATCTAGGAATTGAAATTGTAACAGAAATAATTCAATTTTCCATGTTTTTTATTTCTCTTGTGTACACACTGTAGGCTTAAAAAATAAAATCTGATTCATGTTATGAATTATATTCTACTCCATTGATTGACATTATGCCTTCATTTTGAAAGGCATCAATGACAATGAGACATTATCTTCAAGCATCTCATTATCTGTCTTCCAGGTGGCATAGCAGGAGGCATTGAGATCTGCATCACATTCCCTACCGAGTACGTCAAGACTCAGCTCCAACTCGACGAGCGCTCGGCCAAACCCTTGTACCGCGGCCCCATCCATTGCGTCAAGCACACCGTACACCATCATGGGTACTTTGGTCTCTACAGGGGTCTCAGCCCACTGCTGTATGGCTCTATACCAAAGGCTGCCATTAGGTTTGTATCGGTCCTCACAAGTCCATCATATAAGTCCTCACAAGTCCATCATATAAGTCATCACAAGTACATCATATAAGTCATCACAAGTCCTCACAAGTCCATCATATAAGTCATCACAAGTACATCATATAAGTCCTCACGAGTCCATCATATAAGTCATCACAAGTCCTCACAAGTCCATCATACTAGTCCTCACAAGTCCTCTCAAGTCCATCATAATTCCTCACAAGCAGCGGTGGAGCTGGGGGGTAGGAAGCACGCCCCCATAACAAAAAATTGTTACACCCTCCCCCCCCCCCCCCTTTCCAGAGGGTGGGTTCGAATCCATCCACTGGCCATGTGTTGTGTCCTTGGGCAAGCCACTTTATCCCCGCTTGCCTCTCTCCGCCAAGGAGTATAAATGGGTACACTGTACTGGCATTAGCTTGGGAGTAACCTACCATGGACTAGCATCCCGTCGAGGGTAAATAGAAATACTCTCAGTCGTTCCATGCTACTGAAACGGGAGATAGACCCGGCCAGATGGACACATTGGCTTGTGACAAACTTTACTGAGTGACTCTATCGACCCAGATAGACTTCGATTTCAGACAGGCAAATTGTACACATTAATGAGTTTTCTAATTGCTAGACTTTGTAAGTTTATTTTGACAGCAACAGTCCATCTTTTGATCCAGTCGCTCTTAACTTTTCAAACTTCAAACTTGCTCTTAAAATTTTAAACGTCAAACTTAGTTCAAACCTTGGAGAATGTTTGCGGGTTCAGCATGATTCTGTCAAAGATTTACAAAGTGGCAAACTGTTTATTACCAGTAAACAATCTGAGTTCTAACATGCTGAACAATACATGCTGAACAATGCAGACCAGAACAAAAATCCCAAACTCACCGTTTGCAGGCTGATGTGTTTAAAACTGAAGAAAAATACATGACAAACCTACCAACTTTGCCTACTTCTCAAGTGCCAACACTGTGAACAAGTTGTCAAAGCTTTATTTCTGTAACATGACAATCACTTTTGCACTAAGGATCCAAGAAAAAAAAAACATTTACCAAATCTGTCATCAAGGCAGCTGATACATCAACTGCTTGTTTTCAAATTTCAGGTTTGGTGCTAACGAATTCTTCAAGAACAAGTGGAGGAGTCGAAACAACGGAGCCCTGAGCAAGACCGGTAGTCTGTTCTGCGGTCTGGGGGCCGGCGTGAGTGAAGCCATTCTAGCCGTCACTCCCATGGAGACCGTCAAGGTGAAGTTTATCAACGACCAGACCTCAGCTAAACCAAAGTTCAAAGGCTTCTTCCATGGTGTGAGAGAAATTGTCAAACAACAAGGTAAGGAGGATTCCCTTCTTTATATAGGACAGATTCATCCTTTTAACACCACAGACAAGACTTTAATTGAGACTTTTATGTATAGTATGGCCTACTAACAATAGCCTTACATTTTTGTGCACAAATTCATTTCATGTGTGCTGTACGTGCACAAACATTTTGCATCGGAAAGTTGCACGAGAAACTCACCTGAACAAGATGCAAAAAAAGGAAGTGGCCTTAACGTGTCTGTTTATAATGAACTCCATGCGAATTGCGCCACTTTTCATGGTGAAATCTCTTTTTTTCCCCACCTGCCTTGATTGGCAAGCATAGCCTTTCACTCTGTGACAACTGACCCAACAAAACCACAATTGAAAAGTGGCGCAAGTCTCTAAATAGATCCTTTCATTAAATTAGTCACTGCGCAGTCAACCGTGAATGTAATGACATGACCAGGGTGTCATTTTAAAGAGGAGATTCAACCCCAACAGAAAATATCTCCCTTTGATTCACATGTGCCCTACTTCTGTTCCAATTAGCAATAATATCTCGGTTTCGGGTTTTTTTATCCACCCTGTACAATCTTTGCCTACTACTGTAGCGAAACTGACTGTTTGGTACCCAGATGTAGGTCACGTGGGTCAGTGACAGCCCTCTATTCCATTCTCTTTACTCTCAGACCATTAACCATGTAATTTTTTTGTCCCAGGCTTCCGCGGCACCTACCAGGGTCTGACGGCAACCATCATGAAGCAAGGCAGTAACCAGGCCATCCGTTTCTTCGTCATGGACTCGCTACGTGAGTGGTACCGCGGCGGAGACCCCAACAAGTACATTAACCCTCTCATCACGGCATTGTTTGGTGGAATGGCCGGAGCGGCCAGCGTGTTTGGGAACACTCCTCTGGATGTCGTCAAGACGAGGATGCAGGTACAGATGGAATTATTGACCTATCGCCGTTTGCGAGTTAGCCACGCCAACATAGACAACCCTATGGTGTTTTTGTTTGTCTCAGATTTTGCGCGTTCTGCACCCATTTGTATATAATGTGATTGGACAACATGTCACAAGCTGCGTTAACGCGATTCTAACGCGATTCTACCACGATAGGTCAATTACTGTGCTAAAATATAGGTGTGGCCCACCTGTGGACTTTTTACGTTGGGTTGTCTTTCCACCTTCTATAATTTTTGGAAGAATGATTTCTAAGTGGAACCACCCCAAGAAACACAAATGTTGGAATATTATCTTGGTATTCTTGAGGAAATATCACTTGGAGATGGGTAAAATTGAATTTTGTTTACGACCTTTCACCTTCGACATTATCGTTCCTAGGTCTCCTTGTTCGTGCACATTTGTTTTCACATCGTGTATAATTATCACTGTGAAGATTTAGCAACCAACTGCCGATGGATTCTAGTTGGGCTGGCTTGAGTACAGTCCTTAGCAGCGATCACTTTATATATTTTTTTTGTAAATACTTATGAGTCTGTTAATTTTTTTTCAAAAAAAAATTAAACCCTAAAAGACATCTTGGTCTTCTATTTCACTTTCGGTTTTCACCTAAAGGCTGCCATAAAATAACTTCATAAATTTTCTTCTATGTACGAGTACACCGAGTTGCACTAGTCCGCATGTTTTAGATTTTCAGAAGTGAGAGGTCCATTTTTGGTATGATTTCTCTTTCAAGGCAGGCGATTTATCAGTTTCCATAAATCAATATGCCAGTATTAAACAATTTTACAATGAACCAAAAATAATTGCAAATTCTAGAATTTGTGCACTTTAATTTTCTTATTTATCTGCAGTTAAAATAAGGAAAACCTAAAGGTGGTAAGATGTTTTTTTTTTCTTTTTTCATTTAGGGTCTTGAGGCACACAAGTACAAGAACACCTGGGACTGTGCTGTCAAGATATGGAAACATGAAGGACCTAGGGCGTAAGTATTAAATGCATGGCAATGCGGCGTGAGAGGAAAACACCCCAGCGTGTATGTGCTCAAGGGTGTCAGTCGCTTCGGAAAAGTGCGGCGGACATACATTGTACCTTGATTAGGGGTTTGGAAAAATTTTGGATTCTAGATGCTCTGTGATGCGATCTGAGGCAATTTGTGACCACTTGAACCAAATTCTTTTGAGCAAAAGATCATCACCTAAACATCATTTTTGAGTTTGGAGTCATTGAATCAGCTATGATTCTGAGCTATAGAATCAAATGTAGGCCACAATTTTTATTCAGGGACAAAAAAAGTGGGGGGGGGGGGGAACAAACGATATGATATCCTCCCACCTAATTAAAAAGTGGGGGGGGACATAAATGCTACAGTAATGGCAAATTGCTCTCAACTTAATAATACAGTCGAGTCTCGTTATAACAAACTCGTTTGGACCTAGCCAAATTGTTTGTTATATAGGATCAGAATTTTGTATTAAGAGGAACATCAGTCCCATTCATTGTGCACATAAGTGCACAGTCGGGACCAAGGCTTTATGTTTGTTATAACCAGAATTTTGTATTAACAGAGTTTGTACTAACGAGAGTCGACTGTAGTATGACTTTTTGCATTTTTACCATTGAGGGTCTGTGCAGGAATCTCATCTCTGTGCTTATGATCACCGTTTCGTGCAAACAGAGCTAGCAGAAAAAACTGCTGTGCTAACCCTGTAAGCACAGAATCCTTACTTACAAGATGTATTCACGTGCATAAGCCCAAATTCCTTGCTAACCCATGAACTATGCTAACCCGGGCTGTATAAGCACAGAATTTTCTGCTACATTAAGCAGGGATTTTTTTCGCTAATGCTAAGCATGCAAACCATGAAATGGGGCCCCGGCAACTGAAAAGTAAAGTAAAGTGGACGAACCTGTGTTAACAGGAACGGAGTGTCATCTCTCTTTCATAAGGGATTGGGCCAGACTCATATGCTGCTGTGGGAGGATCGCCACACCTCCCCCACAGCGAGTCTGTTACCTTCCCAGCATTGAATAATGCCGGTACCCATCTCAGTGGTAAATCACATTTGATGTAGCATAAGATTACAGTTAATAGTGTGCAGTACAGCACAGCCTTTCAACTAAAAAGTATTCTCGTGGCTTTTTTTGTTGCACTTCATATTTGCTTTCTTACTTTTTTTTGTCGCAGGTTTTACAAAGGGACGGTTCCCAGGCTGTCCAGAGTGTGTTTGGACGTGGCCCTCGTCTTTGTCATCTACGATGAGATCGTCAAGATCCTCAATAAAGCCTGGCCCACAAACTGATCTCGGAATTCTCTGTGCTGGTCTGTATACTTGGGTCATTCCATATATATCCTACAGCATTCTCCTCACAGTACCAGTTGCCTCAAGACTGCATGGCACAAATTGGGCTCATGTCCTTTGATACTCGACTTGAAACATACATGACCTTCTCTTTGAAAATGGTTCTAGAGTCACCGATTGGTAACTTTTAGTTGAATAGGCCATCAGCCTGGGGGTATGGTCGGTATCAAATGAGGGGAATAATGCTCATTGTGTTTTTTGCAAGGTATGCATCCCTGTAGTTGGAAAATATGTGATAGCATTGCAACGGTGGCAGCGTTTTGGGTGCTTTCATTTTTTTAAACAAATGGCGGCCGAAACATGCTTGTTACTTCATATTAATCCGGTAACAAGCATATTGGCGGCCATTTTGAACAAAAAATATTAGTGATAACACCCAAAAAACTGCCACCGCTCACACTACAAAGCTATCACACATTTTTCAACTCTAGATGTGCATACCTTGCCAAAAATCGTTATGAGCATTGCTCCTTCCATTCATTTGATTCCGGCGACCCAATTTTTGGACCGAAGCGGATAGCCCAGAAATAGATTATAAAGAAGTCTGATTTGAAGCGTTATTGAAATCAGTACAGACAGTAGCATTAGGGTGCAGTGGCAGAATGCAACTGGCTAGAGAGATTTTAACTGGAAAATCGGGACAGTGATGAATATAGAAGCAAATTAAAATTGGGACAGTGAAAATAGATTAACGGGACTCAAATTTGATATTGCAACGGGCAAAAAAAAACCTGGTTATGCACCTGAGTACCGTAATGAGGTTTGCAGGTACACTTATGTTTTCGTCAACTTTCGTGTGAGGAAAGTAGAACCTGTTGTGAGAATTTTGTCGCAAAGTAAGAATATTACTTGAATAATAATAATAACTAATTCTTGTATAGCGCCAAATCCGTCAAAATTGACGCTCACAACGCTTCACAGAAATAAAAACGAGCCAGTTAAAATTGAAAAACAAACTAAAAATTATACAAAGAAAAACCTTCAAAATAACTAGGTGAACATGAAAAACCAATTGTCTCATACAGGCAGGTTAAAATGGACAGACACAGTAAAGCAACAGCGAGACGACCACGATAAAGAGACTTCAAGTACAAAAAAACTTTGACTCCTTCGTTCTGGAGAGTGACTGAAAATATCTGAATGATTAATTATCAAAAGTTATCGGCAAATCTTAATGTCTGTTGAAAACATTTGATGTCCTTTTACAGAATCATCTATATTTTTCTTCTTGGGTAATATGATTACTTGCAAACTCTGATAAAACAAAGACGAACCAAAAAAAGCTTCATTTCATGCATTTTTTCCATGACATAATCAAATTTTTGTTAGTGACCTAAGAATCGTTTTCAAATAGAAGGTGACTTGTATTTGTGGTCAGTGTAAAAAAGGGCTTTAAATCATCAGTGTGCCATCAATGAGAAAATATACCATGTGCTTACTGTAGCTGCCGTGTGTGTTGAAAAGCGCCCTCTGTTGTTAGTTAAGGGTTAGAAGTAATCTGTGTGGGTATGGTATAGGTGATATAAAACCCAGCTCTGTTGAATTGTAGGTGGTTCATGATCGGACTTTGCACATATATGGCGTACGTAAAATGTTGATTCCCATATATGGTTAACGTAAGAAAACATAAATATAGGATTTTGTTTTGGTTAAAAATTTGCCAATGTACTATGTATTGTGTCGGTTTCTAGAGTACTGTATTAAAAATAACAGACACTGCCTCTCAGTTTGAAAGCTTAAGTATTTACAAGCAGTAATTGTTTTATTTGCGGGGGAATATGGGTGGGGGGGGGGAATATGGGTTTGGTTTGGAATTTGATATAGAAATGGACTAATTTTCATGACCAATAAATTGAGCACGTTTCTTCTTTCATCAAGTCACATGCCTAACAACCAACCCTTTGGTTAACCATTCGGTAAAACTTGAAATTTGGTAAATCATTAATGTTTCTTGAGCCAATCATTAACGATGTTAAAACGTGTGCTGTTGTTAATGCAGTCTGCATATTGTGTGTGATTTTTGAGGTGTGTCGTTTCCTGGCGTTGCCGGGCAAATGTTTGGAGCGAGTCCAACAGCTTGAAACATTTATGACTGTAGAACCTCTTGAAATTCATGAAATGCTACACTACGCCGTTAGGTTTCCTTGAATATTTTTTTCACATATGTTTTGACACTTTATAGAAGATAAGTAATCTGTGAAGTGCCCCTTACAAACTTCCTTTTGGTGAATGATCCGTGAAAATCTGGTGACTGCACTATGATCGGCTCAGTTCGTCTGACCATGCATAATGTATCTTTCGAGGGATTTGGACATCGGGTCATAAAAATCCATGAAAAAAATTCTTGCTGGATTAGTCCTACAAACCTTCACAGCAAAGTGGTGTATTAAGATGTTTGTACAGTGTGTGTCAATAAAAATATAGCAGTCAAGTCACAAACATTTTCAAAATATTAGCACTCTCTTTGTGCAAAACTTATCTATAGAGTCGGAAGGTGTAGTAAATACTCTACACGATGGTTTTTATCCCATCTCATTTGGACACCCCAGTCCAGAGATACAGCTCATTAAATGAAAGGACTTGAATTCCAAGTTTGGGCCACTTCTCAGATTACATGTATCTGGTATGAAAGGCGTTCATATGGTGTGTGAATGCCTTTCATTAGATACCAGATAATCTGTAAAGTGGCCCAAACTTTTAAACAAAAGTTCCGAACCACACGGAACAAAAATGCTGTAGTAGAACTTTGTTTTGGAAATAAAATTATATTGTTTGGAAAGTGAAGGAAATTTCATTTTAGATGAAAAATTTAAATGAATTCCCATTGGATTAAGTGTAAGATATTTGATTTGTAAATTTTGATTTGGTTTTCCACGTTTCAAAACAGATTTTGCAGGGCTGGGTGTGATAAGGGATATACATGTAGTACATGTAGTTGAAAGACTTTTTTTTTTAAATTAATTTTCCATTTGTGAAAAGACTTTTGAATAGATGTACTGAAGAATATATTGCTGCGATTTAGTGAACGGTTATTGAAAGAAAAATGTTTTTATGGAAGTTGTTTGTAATTTGAGATTTTGAAAATGTTGAAGTTCTGAATGAAGAGATACAGCGAAGACAATTGTAGAATTGTACATCAAAATGTACTTGTGAAAAAAAAATGTGAAAGAGAATTTTGGGGCATAAAATGAATGAAGAGGGACAATTGTATAACGCTGCCTAAAGGTTTGCCGATACATAACCCTAGCTGTAGCAGAAAAATAATGTGATATTAACTAAAAGGTCTATTTTGTTCCCTTAGGCATTTTAATGCTTGTTTTTACTTTGCCACAATTTTAAGTAACTTCTACCGCAATTTGTTATAGTGTTCCTTTTACTGTGCTTACCGCTTACAGTCACTATGGAATAAGCGAAGCATTCAGCATAACTTGTGAGATTAATGGACCCGAGACCTAATGACGTCACACTTTGTTTACATGTGCGCTTTCCTAGGTGGGACACGCTCGCACAGGAAAGTGCACATGCAAACAAAGTGTGACGTCATTAGGTCTTAAGACTATTAGGCAGAGTACTTTTGTGTGGCAAAAAAATCTTACCTTACACATGAGGCTGAGTTGTCACAAAAATTCACTTTTCATGACGTAGTAAAATTGACCTGAATTCCAACCGTAATTAAACATATTTTTGAAAATACTGCCAGCCCATGAGTTATTTCTATGAATTGCTGTATGCTGTTGTTATCAGCTTTAGATCAGAGGTGGCCATTGCAAGTATGAACTAAAATTACGCACAATGTTATAGAAGTTTAACAAATGTTCATTAGGTATTCAACTCGGAATTAAGATTTTAATATTCCCATATTGTACTAAAAGCCTTTTTGTTTTTAAGTCAATTCAATGTATAATCCCTAAACTTTCATGAGTTAAAATGTGTACATATCTAAATATTCATATCCGAAATTACCTGTTAAAAAATTTAGAATTTTTGACAGCTTATTGGTTGTGCTAGCAATTGCTGAAATAGCATAGTTATTATCATTTTGATGATATGTTACGGCAGAGTACATGTAATTCCAAGCAATAAATGTATTTTAAAATGAATAAACCATTGTTTTGGGGTTTGAATATCATGTCTTATCAATTGTCAGTGACTGATCCTTTGTATACATGTACATCTAAAGTCCATTCAAGGATGGATCCAGAGCATACTTTTCGGTGGGGGAGGGGGGACGGGGGAGGGGGCACTGAACCGTTTTCTCTTGTTTTGTCTTTCTTTCTAATCATATTTCACAATTGCATGTAGAACATGTATAAAGGAGGATGATTAACGTCGTTTCCACACTGCCCAATAGCCCTAGCCTTGTTGCCATTTGTAGTTCATGGCTCCAGAGGATTTTTTTGAAAGGGAAGTAAAGTCCGACATTTCATTAGGTCTGATTCCCCGCCCCCTGAATACAACATCACAACGATATTCAGCGCGGAACCAGACTAGGCAACAAGGCTATGAATAATGCGCAGTGTTTCCACTCCTCTGGTTTAATATTTTTTATTATTTTTTTTGGGGGGGGGGGGGGGGGAGGGACATTACCCCTGTTGGTCTCTAGATCCATCCGCCTTTGAGTGCATTTAATTTACAAGCATGTGTCGGCCAGCACCCAGTTAACACGTTTGTTCAGATATCAGTTAAAACCCTTGTAAAAGAAGAAAAAAATATTTTGATGGCCATCAAGCCCTCCCCAAGTAGTATAACATAATTGTAACGTTCTACAGCCTGAGAAATTAGGAAGTGTGGCGTGGCTTTCGATTGCTGGTAGCAATCAGATGATTTTTATAAAAAAGGTATGCTGAAAATGTCCATGTGTTTGTACAGTTTTCTGTACTCAGTGTGTTACCTCCCGAGTGACAGTTGGAAAATATCACTCAAGTGGGACTCGAACCCACGACCTCCTGCTTTCTAGTGCAGATGAACCAGCCAACCGATCCTGTTAGCTCGGTGGTCGAGTGGCAAGACATCTGCACTAGAAAGCAGGAGGTCGTGGGTTCGAGTCCCACCGAGTGATTTTTTTCCAACTTTCACTCGGGAGGTAACACACTGAGTATACAGTGTTTATACGTTGGTGAAGGGCAAAACCTAAGTTGATTTACCCTGACGCAAAAATCCCATCTTATTCTGTAGTTCTTTGATACTCGTGAAAAGCTCTATGCCCAAATATATG